CGCTATCTCTATTCTGAATTACGTTAATATAACAACTGATACCGTAAAGTTGCACTATACGACTGCGATTTTTTGTTTTAAGCTACGCCTTAACGGTAAGGCTAAAAACAGAACATCGGTGGAGTTATTAGGCACGTTGATTCTGCAGATTAATTATCCTTGCTTCCCTCTTAAGCAGTTTTTTTTTTTCTTTTGCGGACTTAAAATTGGTTTCCGTGTTCGCGTTAAGCAGTTTCCGGCTTATACAGACGAAATTACGTTAACTTGTATATTCATGATACGGGACTAGAAAAAAAAAATTCGTTATAAGGTCTTAGTCTTATTGAAAGTCAGGTTTAAACTGTTTTCACTGTAAATGAAACTAATTTAATACAAAAATGTAAAACAATATAATGTGGCTATCATCAATATGAGTCAAACATTTTTTTAATTTTTAATTAAGAAAAGCTATATAAAAGATTAGAACATTAGTAGTTGCAACTAATATCTGTAAACAAAACACAATCAGTCTAATAAAATGTATTTTAAACATATGACTTCAATCATAATTAATTTTATAAATTGCAACATCAAAAATCTATTATTTTATTCAAGTTTTCAATTCATATAATCTTAAAACATTTTCAGAACAACGAGAAAACTACTTGAAAGACGTAATGGATACACTATATATCGCTATTGTGAAACTCAAGAAATCCTCAGTCTTGTTGTAACAAATATTCAATCCAGAACGAATAAGAAACGAATATAAAAGAAGTACACATCTTGAACAAAGGATTTAATGAGAAAGAAAAGCTGGCAAGAGACCATTAGGAAATCCGATAATTTTTAATAATAATTAAGATATAAAATGTAAGTAATATCAATAGCTTAAAAGGAGTAATTTTGTTGAATGTTGTTAAAAAAATCTCCATTTAAAAAACATTGACACTAACTGAAAGTAAAATTGTGTGTGTGGTGCCATCTGTTACAAGATTTTATATTTCAATATAATAATATAAAAATGCAAAAAGGCTTAATTTTGAAGATAGCGATGAGTTATATTTAAAAAAAGAAAAAAAAACGTAAATGCCAATAACGAATAAAATTTTAAATCCAATCTCACTCCAGATGACAGGATCCCCACTATCTCCCATCCTCTAGTTCAGTAACCGAAAATTTTATAGCATCTGTGCCCCTTATGTACAAATTACCATGCCAAATTTCGTTTCTTAATATTTAGCGGATGCTGAGATATTAAAGGAAATAGATGTTAACACATTTTCCCTTTGACTTTTTGGATTCAAGAGATCTCAAAACGTCTGGAAAAGTAAAAATACTGTAGATTTTTTAGAACCTTTAATTATTTTCAAAAATGAAAATGGAATCCGTTTGTATCAAACTAGTTAAGGGTAAAAAAAAACCTCAAAAGGAAGAAAACTAAAACAAAAGCTTCCAAAGTAGCAAGTGTAAGAAAAGAAAGAGTTTCGAAGAGGAAGAAATATGTACAGAAAAGAAAGATGTATTAAATCAAGTACATTATGGATTTAAATAGAAACTTTTTGCCAAATTGCTTATTTTCTGCAAATCAGCCGTCCATATTTGTTAATTGTAGAATTAAAGAAAAACTGTATTAAGTAGTTTTTAATTCAAGTTAGATTGTTCTGTATTCCAGAAATCAAAAGAATTTCTAAAATCTGTTTCACATTACAATCAATTGTAAGATGAAAATAAGGTAAAACAGAACCTATAAACATTACTCAATAAAATACAATATTTGACTTTGGCCATAATTAAGCAGATTTTTAATTATTCTAATACGAGTGTGCCGAGCTTTGCTTATTTTAAAATCATTTTAAATTTGCTGCATCAATTAGCATATAATTCTTTTAAAAAAATATATGTAAGAAAAACTATTCTTTTAGAATTTCAGTCATTTTCAGAAATTAATGATTTTTAATTTCAAGAAATTTTATCTATATACTAGATAGAGGTTGGTTGGTTGTAATTAAATACAGAACAAACTGCCCAAAATACTGCCAATTTTTAAGAATCCTACATTGCAGATGAGAATAGAAACAAAATAAAACAAGTTTCCTTAAAATAGGGAGACAGATTACAGTTATCGCAGTATATATAATCTATGTTTATTTGTTTATATATTAAAAGTAAGATGCTCGATCATCGTCACACACAAATAACGTGAATTTAAAAATTTTATAACTTATACAAATTGAACATTTCAAACAATGTTTTCAAAAACCATTTAAATTTTCAATTGATTTGATTTTGGTTTCAGTAATTATTATTGTATTATTTTTAGTTTTAATTAATTTTTAGGTTTAATTTATTTAGCATTAATTTAGTTTTTATAATTATTTTTAATAATTTTTTATTTAATTTTGCCTGCATTTTTCGAACCCTTAATTACAATTTTTTAAATTAATTGCAACTTTTGTTTTTATTTGCCACATAGTCATAGAAATTGTTTTAGTGTTGTTTCACATAAAAGATAAAACATTAAAATAAAATGTAAATTTGATTTAGTAATTTCATTAATTTTTGTTTTATAAATTTGACTGCCTGCTTTTTAAAAATGTTTTTAAATTTTAATTATAAGTGAGTTAATATTGAACTATAGGGGTAGCCCTATAGTTCAATATTAACTCACTTAATTAAAATTTAAACTATATTGAACTATAGGGGTAGCCCTATAGTTCAATATTAACTCACTTATAATTATACTTAAATCGTCCAACGGGTTATATAAAGATACATGTGTAAAACATATACAAAATATAAGAACAAATAATAATAGCATACGCTTTCGGAGGGGGTTCATAGTGTCATTCAGTGTATATTTCAAAAAAAGCTCTCAATGCCATGGGTTAAGGCATCGGCTCTCACCTTATTCCCTAGAACCAAGGTTCAAGTCAGAGATGATCAAAGATTTATTTCAAAAGGGAAATCTATAAAACGAGATATACAGAGGCTTTACCCATCTACAAAACGCTACTATTACCTATTACGGTATCTTCTATTCTTTATAAATTATTAGTAGTAAGTGACCCAATGGGTCATGGGTGGTCTAATAAATATTTTAAATTGTTCAATAAAAAAGCAGTACAAAGAATAGTTTGTTATTATTTTAGACAGAGTTTTAGTACTATACTAGAAGTATAGAGAATACTAGGAATAGGGGACTTGACATAGCATTCCGTGTCAAGTGGCTACTTGAAAATTTTAAGACTAATCATTGCAAGAATCTTGGCCATATCTTTCACAGCTGAATGGTCAAGCAGATAATGAAAGACAACTGCTCTGAGGAATCTAGGATTGAATGACTGAATCTGGAAGGTCAAAAAACCCTGAGAATTTTTCGGGGGTGATCCATTCCAGATACATACTGCCAATTCTTCACCATCCAGCTGTCTCATTTTGGGCCTCACCAACCCAAATGGACTTGCTAAAAAAAGGTGTCCACAGAGAGGAAAGAGTTTAAAAAAATCATTAAAAGAAAAAGTAACAATAGGGTTGTCTGAATATAGATGAGAAAGAAAAAGGTATTTTATAGAAATAGTAGCTAATTATAAGGAGAATTTTTCACAACATTAGTAATATCATTTTTAAACTGTCTTTTAAATACAAAATTTTCTTGTTGGGCTGAAATTTTAAAAAATTGTAGACCTATAAATTCCCACTGTAGCCAGTCTATCTGTCCTTCCTTAATCTTGAGAACGGAGTTAGATAGATGAAAGTCAAGACCAGATATGGAAAGCTTGATAACAGTAGACCCCGATTAACTATATACGAACTTCCTGTTTTCACAGAAAGTGACGTTATTTTAATTCAAAAATTTGCCTCTGAAAGGAGTTAGATAACAGCACAACTATTGCTAACAGGAAAAGTATGATGTACAGGGGCAAAACACTACTAATTTGATGTGGTGAGATATATTTGAAATTAAATAAATTAAAACTATGATTAACTCCAACGTTGTGAAGATGCCACAATAAATAATTGTTTGTTTTAATTATTTTACAAATATATGTTAAATATAAACGAGTAGATTAATAACTAACAAAAGATTAGCAATTCAATTCATATTTATCTAAATGATAATCCTTTATTCCCAATTCTGACATTACAATAAGTATGATAATGATAGGAAAGATAACAAGCTACTTACGATAGTAAAAAATCGTATGGTCCTCATCGCGATAACTTCATTTTATGTGAATAAATATTATTATAGATGCTATTTAAAATTGATATAAAACAAAATGCAGCCTTCTACTTGGGACATAATAATTGCAATTTATTGCTCATTTATAATCAAAAAAATTAATTTGTGTAAATTTAATACATTTTTGTGTGTGCACACAATACTTCCACATTTAAACATCAAAAATTGTTAGCATCTTGGAAGAATATTTCTATAGCACCACTTAGAAGCTATTTTCTAAATTGAACTATCTGACTAGGAATCATTTTGAATGTTCCTATAAATCTTAGGCACTATAATGCTTTTCCAAAAATCATTTTTTTTTCTTAAACATTGTCTTTCAAATGGAAAATTTCTTGGAAATTCTTTACATAATTTCTTTTAAAGACTAAATTTATAAAGGAATATAAAAAACTTTGCATTAGTAGAGTTTAAATATGGATACATATATTTAAAGCTTGTTAGCCTTAATAAAAAACATTTGTATTATTTATATTTTACATAGAAAATATTTTTTTCTTTTATAATAGTGCAAATATGGAAAAAATGTGACAAATAAAATGTTGACAAGACTTCGGTGAGAATAGCAGCACAGAATGGTTTGAAAAATCATACCACTCTAATGTATAATTTGTATAATAATAATAATTATTATAATAATAAGGTATAATATATTTTTGTGTACATCACTGCTTAAATAGTTTTTAACAGCAATTATTATAAAAAAAATAAAAATATATAAACTTGGCATACTTANTAAAATATACATAATATTCCATGTAGCTATGTACAAGCTGTAATTAAATCTCTTGTGCATATAAATACAGTATGTTATCAACAGGAAAAGATTTTTTTTTGTTCAAAAATTAATTTTACAAGAATATTTCACTTCAATAATATTTCAAGCTACAACTTGCTGATCAAAAGTTCCTTGTAAAATTGACTTTGTTTCTCCATTTGTGTATTCGGAAGGATCACCATTTTGACTCAGATCTCTTAGGACTGGAGTATTGGAACGACTACGATTCCATTTTTCTTTGTGTTGTTCTCGGCCAAAACCCTCATCGTAATTTCCCCTAGATATGAATAGTTGCTTAAAATGAGGAGTGCAATAAAGCTTACCACCACTTGTTGTGTAGTTCTCTAACCTATATAAAATAAATATGAAATTATTCCCAATATACAGGAAATATGATTTTTTATTTATGTAGAAAAACTAATATACTGTATTTTGAAAATATTTATTAATGTAACTGTTTAAAAATCATAAGATTTAATCAGTCATAATTTTTTAAAAATTTATAGTATAATATTACTTAACTGCTTACATTTCAATATACAGTATTACACTACTATCTGATGTTATTAACTATAATAGCTAATTTTTCAGTATTAAAGTTAATAATTTTTTGATTTTGTCTGTTAAGAAAGTTAAGAACTATGATTTTTGTAATTAATCAAATATTTTTGAGAACGTTTTTTACAAACAAAAACGTAATAAACTACTTAGATAACCACTATTAATAACCATAGTACTTTTATTCTTATAAACTTTCACTGCACCTTATAGTGCAGCAAAAGATTATTTTGCCAATATTTTCCATCATCTTAATCAACCTTCCTTAGGCATTCATTCATTTTTGAATTGTAAATTCCCTGAAGTTCAATTAATAAAACCAAAAACCACAATTATAATAGATATTGTAATATTTGACCCAGAACAGCACAACTTCATATAATAAAATTATGGATTTTAAATGAATGAATTTATAAATTAATTTAAATATATATAGAAATTAATTTTAAATATCAACTCGAATATTTAAATCGTTCTTTGTTGAAATTTAACATGTTTATATTATTTTTGATATTTCATATAAATTATCAATGTATATTTTATTCTGTTATTTTTGTTTTCTTCTTTATCATTTTGTTATGATTTATAATCGTGATAATGAAGATATTCAAAAATTGTCAACTTTTTATTAAAAAAAATTTTATTTAAAAGTTTACTTTATTGGAGTCAGTCATTCATTAATATCTTCTAATTATAAAGTAAAATACTTGTGACATTTAAATTTGGAACATTATCCTAATGTAGCAGTTAAAATATATTGATAGAAAATTAGATTAATTAGAAAAATTTTAAATACAAAATTGTTTTTTTTTTTATTTTTTTTTTACATATAAAACCAATTTTGAGTAGATAATTTTACATATTTCTTTGTAATGTAATCTATATAATTGATATTTAAACAATTTCCAGAACTACAGTTATGCAGTAAATTTTTATTATTTATACTGCTGACTGTTTATAATTTTATATAATTTTTTAAAAACATAATATAAAAAATAGTAAAAATATTTTAAAATACAGTAAAAAGGTAAAAGTTGACCTTTTCTGTATTTATTTATTTATATATATAAATATTTCCAATCACCTCCAGAAATTGATACTTAAATATTGTTTGTTCTAACTTAAAGCATGCAACAATTTTTTATTTTTGAATAGAAATTTTGTGATGATATGTATTAAAGAAAATATAGTAAATTATTCATTAGAACCATCTGTTGACAACATTTGAAAATTTACTTGAATTTCATTAAAAAAACTTATGAAGAACCTTTGAACAAGCAGAATCTTAATTCTTAAAAAGCTTTTGATATACTTTCATCTTATCTGTCTTAAATAAAAGATTACATAAACTTAAACTTTATATATAAATATAAAAAGAAACATTCTATAACACAACTACTTATAAATTAACACTGTTTATAAATTAATAAAAATCAGCCATAATAAACTCAATAATTTAATCTACATTATATTAATAGTGGTATTTAGCAGAGATATTATCAAATTAGATGAAATTATCCAATTATCTAATTTAAACTCAATTGAATTAAGACTAAACAACAAAAACAATTGACTATGTAATTATTTCTGAGCTTTTTTTCTTAACTATAATTTAAGATTTCCATTATCTGTACTCTTCTAAAGTAATGATTTTGGTAGTGATCTTTAGAAATATTTTGTTTAAAAAAATTTTATATATTAAAGAAATATTTTCCATCTAAATTTAATTTATGGATATATTCCATTGTTAAGAAAATTAATTTTATTAAAAATATTCTTAACAATGGAATATATCAATCAGTTAATTGATTTAAATATAAGCAAAAATTTTAATTTTTAATGTAATCTGCAAATTTGTTATTTTGATTAAGTAAAAACCAAATTTAATTAATTTACACAATATACTGTATTTATAGAATATATATTTTCAAGACAGAATCTTTAAAAATCTGACAAAGGCTTAATTAGAACAAATGTTTTCAGTCTGATGACTGAAAACATTTGTTCTAATTAAAATTAATTGCTGAAAAAGTGTGTAAAGTGTTCAGTGTCTTTATATACTGTGATAGTTTCAGATTCCACTATTATTGAATCTGAACCAGTTTTGTTCATTTGCTACCATATGCTCTAGCAAAAACAAATAGATTAACATGTATATGTTTTTAAAAAATAAAAGGTATTGAATAATTTGTGAAACTAACATATGTTCATGTACCAAATAACAGTACCAGTTTTTTAAAATATGCATATTTGTTTACAGTCTTTTTTTAACTGACTCAGTCTAAATTTTTCATTAATCTAAATAATCCCATATAATAATTAGTTCAGATTAGCGAGAATGTACTGTATGTTAAATTATTAGTCGTTTATATACATCTCAGTTCAAGTTTAGAAATAAAGTCAAAGAAAAATTGATTTAATTAAATAACAAAAATTTTAAAATCATTTTCTATACTCTTCAAATAAATTGAAAAAAAATTTTACCTCAATATACAACTGCAGTGAGCACATCTGAAACAATTTTTATGAAGTTTTTGTCCGCTAGTTTCCATTTTCTCCATTGGATATAATCTCCTTCCACAGATGTCGCAGACTTCCATACTTGCTGAGGATTGTTCTTGCTAAGAGGAGTAGGGGAATATTTCGAACTAAAAACTTATATTTATCACTCAATAACTTAGAATTAATTAGATAGAATAAAGTTCTTTTTATATAAAATTTTTAATTATAATAATTTATTACTAAAACTTTACTATCTGTAATGAAATGCAAACAAAGGCCAGAAAATTCAACAACTGTCAAAAAAACAACTTAAAAGTTTAATATTTAAACACTTATTACAGTTCCAATTAACTACTTTTATTTTAAATTACATGAAAATTATATTGTCATTAGTTTTATATCATTGAATTTTATTAAAAATATGTTAGTTTAACAATTTTAAAATTGAAACACATGACATTCATTTTAACATAAAATCTAAAATCAAATATTCTTAATATTTAAAATACATAAAGTTCTGTTCAAAAACCTCCATCATTGTCATATTGTGGTTTCAATACAAATGGATGATATATTTTCAAAATTTATATTCTCTATAGTTTTTAAAAAATATTTTTTATAGAAAAAGATATTGTTGGCAACATTATTGGCTGATTATCTTGCAATGACTGTAAATTGGAAATGAATTACCTATCTGATTAACAGAACAAAAACAAATAACTGTTCTTTTCAAGTCTTAATAATAAAAAAAAGTGAGTTAGAGATTCAAGTAAAACTGATATTTCTTGAGTAGGATAAGTAATATGAAATTCAGATGTTTCCAGTTCATTCATCCAATTTTTTTTTAAAGTACTGAAAATTAGTAAATATTTAAATGATTCTTAAGAACAAAGTAAATCAACACATTGTGAGAAGAAAGAGGAAAGAACTGAGAGGAAAAAGTCAATAGAAATCTAGATAGATGCTGCATCAAGTTAATGACTGACCATTCATATTTGTACAAAACTTATTTAGTCATATGTAAATTGATCAGATAAAAATTGTTTAAAATTATTCCTGAGAGAAGTTTATAATTTAAATATTGATATTTCAGTTAGAAACAAAATGTTTTTTCCTTTTTTTACAAAACAAAAAACAACATTAATTTCTATGCTTTCCAAGACAACAATCATTTATGTCAGGAATTGAAATTTAACCAATGTAGAAAATAATGCCAAATTTCAAATAGATCTAGCTTATTTAGTGACAATTATGAAGACCTAAACTGACAAGATTTACTTTTAAGTTTATATATGATAGCTGATAGAAAATAAGATACAATATAACATTGATCATAATTACCAAATTACTGTACCTGAAACTGGATAAGAATCTGCATAGAGGATGACAAGAGGTAAGAACAGTTGTACCACAAAGGTTTATCAATCATTATGGATACTGCACTAAATATAATTTAAGAAATTTCTAATTTGTAACATGTTATGAAATACATTTTGAAAAATTATGATAATATGCTAACAAAATCAAGTAAAGTTAGACAAATGATAATTAGAAATGGTATAAAGAACCAAGAATCATTAAATATTTTCTTACCATGAATCTGTAAAGATCAAATTTGATTTTATCACTTGCCGTAAGCCATTTACATTATAAAAGAAAGCATTGTTAAGAAGCTAAATCTGAAAGTAGTATAGTATATCAAATTTTATAGAGTCAAAAATGTATGATTGAGCATAAATTCTCACAATTCTAAAATTAATGAGATGATGAAAAACAAACATTACATGTGCTTAAAGAAAATCAAAAAGTATAAGTATTGATTACAAACCCTTTTGGTAAATTATCTTGCACACTTTTTCAAAATAGATTAACTATATTTTGACTAAATATGAGAATCCTATCAAAAATTAATTAAAAAAGATACTAGAGGAATTAAAACACAAATTAAAATTTTTGCAACATAGAACACTATTTTACTTAAACAACAAATTAAAATTTCTTGATTGAGATAATATTATGACTAATACTCAAAATTAGTTTATAAAAGTCAGAATTTGGTACACACTAAGTACCTCCTGTTTTTATTCAAATTTTAAATGAAGACTTGACTTATAGTTGCCAACTATTCTGCTTTTGAGTACAGTTTAATTTACAAAGGATTAGAATCAAAAAAGATAATGGGGAAGAGAAGATGATTCTTAACAAAATGAAAAAAAAGATAATGTGTTAAATCAGGGACAATCTCAGATTATTATTTCTTAAACTAATCAAAATTATAAGTCAAATGATTTAAAGATCTACCAAATTTTAATTATTATATTAAGAGAATGAAAGATAGATGTATTCTTACTTTAGTGTCTTTTTTATTGAGTTATGGAGACTAAACAAATATATATTTGGCAACAATTGATATCAATTTAAAAACAAAAATTAAATTTTATTTCAAATGGCTTTTGATAAATGTAAAAAAAAGTGTGGCAGAGAAAAATATATCTAACTAAAAAGATATTTTAACATTAATCTTAATTCACACAACAAAACTTTATTTTTTCTTTTACTAGAATTACAAATATGTAAACAATAATGTTGTTTCAATAAAAAACTTCAACAATGTCATTAGAAAATTGATTTCATATTGATAGTTAGACACTTGGATCAATTTTTTTTTTATAACAAAAAGAATTGAAATAAAGTTTCATTAATATTGTTTAAGTATATCAACGTCAACTATAAACTTGGATTGAATTTCATTATTTGAAAATACTCAATGTTTATGAATTTCAATGTAATGTATCAATGTTTAATAACCAACCCAATTTCAAACAATTAAGAATTACAAAGTCAGTTATACAACTTCTCATTCAAGAAAAATTGACTTCCATTATTGAATGGTTGACAATTGCTAATAAATATATATCTAAACATTGATTAAAATGCTATATAATCATTTATACAATAATAATTGATGTTGGACTGTGCAAGACAACAGAACCATTCACATCAGAATGTTTTCTCTATGTAACTAAACTGATTCACATTACAAGAACATATTGTTTCTTAGAATATTGTAATCATCTAAAATTGCTAACCACAATAATGCAGTCAATTCATGAAAGATTGAACAGACTATTGATTACAAATTCAAACACTGGACGATGAAATATTACTAAGGTATTAAATGGTAATATTTCTAAACACGCACGCACACACATACTAAAAAGGACAGATGGAATAATAAGTAGTTTGTATTTTTAAAAACAATTTCACATATATGCAATTCATTTTTAAATTTTATATTATGATAAATTAAGTATTTGGAGATTTAAAAAAAAAAACATATTAAATAGATCACAATAGATAATTTGTAAAAAGTTTTAATAAAAAAAATTTGCCAATTAGTACATTTTAATTTTCCTTACAGACTAAAGGCAATTGGCACACCAGTTTTGTTCGCTATATTCTTTTTCCAATAAACAGCATTTTAATTTACATCAGGCATGCAAAAAAACATTTAAATTTCAAAAAGCACCTTTTTATTTTTTTTTTTTTTTTAATTTTTTTTTACAGGTTTGTAGTTTGACTAAAGTCCAATAACAATTTTGATTTGGATTCTATACAATGATTTATAAAATTAACCTAAACCCTTGAATACTTCATAAGAGTGCAGTCACTTGGATTGTAGATCAGTTTGTTGTCCATGCCAGTTGCACTTCGGATATGTATTCACACATTCGATGTACTTGACATAATCTTGAATGATGATTACTAAGAAAAGAAAGAGTTTTTGTCAACCCCTAATGTCTTGTGGACGAACTTGTTAGTTTTATTTTCATATCATGCATATATTTTTCATATATAGGCAATTGATGATGTGAAGAATCTTTAAATGGCTTTAAGTTTGCACTTTCATTACATCATATTTTATTAGAGACAAAATGTAACTTATTTCATGCAAAGTTAGAAAACCATTTTTAAATGATTAAAATATACATAATATTCCATGTAGCTATGTACTGTATATTAAAATTACATGCAACTATTTAAAATCATATATTAAGAATCAAATCTTTCAAAAATATTTATAAAATGATTACTGAAATTGACATTATCTAAAAATTTTATTTACAATATCAGACAAACTGCTGTTAGAATCAATTGAAAATTTTAAATATTAATTTATAAATTCATGCAAATTTCATTTAAGCATATCAAATTCAAATTTAATAATTTTATCTAAATAGAAATTAACACATTTGAAAAACCAGAATATTCATATTAAAAATGAACATCAAGATTTATCTTCATTTACTGCTTTATATTAATAAGTAAATATTCTAACCAAACAAATACTTTTTAGTTAAAATTAAAATATAATATAAAGAAATTTATTAAATTTCTTCATATAACAATAAAAATATCAAATTACTATAGTCATTTTAAAAAGTCTATTGTTATTTTAATTCTTTTCAAGTTTTAAAATTAGATATTTTACAAAAATTGTAAAAATTATATATCATAACAGTTCATTTTTAAATATATATATTTTTTTAACTGTATATTTTTCTACTTTGTGCAACATATTCTTTTTGCCCATCTTCAGAATATTCTAGAGGCAATACATATTCATAAGATGACTAAAAGAATTTGTCAGTTACTACTACTGTAATTATATTAACACACCTTTGGGTAAAAAATTATTTAGATATTTTCACTAGCTACTTGTTTTTCCTGTGTTTTAGATAATAATTATCTGATTCTTTTTCAAACCTTTTAGCATGATTAAATTTCAGACATCTATAATTTGTCCAGATGAATATTTACCAATTATTGAAAAATGAAGATAAACCAAGTATAACAATTTGTCATTTGTTAATTTAAAAATTAACTTAAAACTCTAGTTAATAATTTGTTATATAAGTTAAAATTTAAATTAACTTTTCAGAAAACAATGGTGCAAATCTGCTACAAAAGGAGAACTGGTGATCATACTGGTTTCCAAAATTATAATAAAAATATCTCAAACTCATTAATAATACTAAGTAATGTAACAAGGCAATATTCAGTTATTTCAGTAATATGGTATAAATTTAAATTTAATAGATGATTTGTTTCACAACTAGGCATAATCACAGTTACTATAAATTCTTTGAAATGATTGTGAATTTAATAAAAATGAAAATATATCTTATATAAGTTTACATTTATAAAGTAATCTTTAAATTCAAACAATGTATGATAAAGTTGTTTTAAAATTTTATTTTAGTTAAAATTTTAAAAGAATATACATTAAAACATTTTATCAAAGTAATTAATTATTAACAAACAGATAAGATCTTAATTGTTTCAGACTAGTAGCAAATATGCACCATGCATTGTGAAATTTTCATTTACATCTGCTTGAACATTAGATACAAGTATACTATTTGGTAAAATTTTTAAATAGTATTATTTATATTATAGTAATATAGAATTTTTAAATAAGTTTTTAATAATTATCATTATGCAATAAAGTTTTAATTAAGAATATCTTCTTACATAATTACTTTAATTGGTTGTCACTTGTCATTTTACATAAATGATATCAAAGACTAATGTCAATGCTGGCATTTTTTTTAATTAGATAAAATTATCATGAAAAATTTTAATTCATATTTATCAAATATAGTCAATTTGCAAACAAAATATATGCAATATCTGAATATACTTATTTTGATAAAACAAAAAAAATAATGGAAACTGTAATAAAATACAATACACTAAAAAATATATATATAAATTTTGTCTTTTTAGTAATTTAATTACATAAAAATAAATTATGGAAAAGTAATGAAAATAATAATTTTTAAATAAAAACATTTTTGAATATTGTATGTAATTCCACTAATTTAGAAATAAATGATTTGCTATCCATTTAGTCATCTTATTTACCTCCTTATTTGAGTTTGTTTTTATTTAAAAAATTTGAATTTATAATCAGTTTGTCTCCATTTCTAAAAATATTATAATTTGCTATTCATAACTTAAGATTTGGTTAACCTTCTAATTCACAAGTCAGTAATCCTTCATAATTAGCTTAAAGCACTCATCTGAATATACTACTGTTTTAAAATTATTTTACAAACCATTTAAAATATATAAATAATACATATTAACATAAAATTATATAAATTAAAAAATTAAATAAATTCTGTTAAGTATAATTTAAAACAGTGATACCCAAACTATGGCAGATGAACCAATAAACTGTGGCCTGCAAATATATTTGACACCTAATTTATAAATGATAAAAATAGGTTTATTTTTGTATTTATGAAACATTTAAAAAATTTGTAGTCTGTCTACCTATGGCATATGCACAAGTTGACTTGACAATCAAAAAGTTTGGGCACCTCTGGTCTAAACGATCTTAACTTCTAATATCCAAGAAGCCAAAATAGAAAAATTTTTCTTTCTACTTTGAAAAAAAAATTTGAATTATGATTTCTTTTCAAATAACATAAATACAGTTTAAAAAATATAACTTTTTAAAAGAATTATTTTAAAAATATTAAAAATACCTAATTAATAATAGATTAATATCTTAGTTCTTTTAAATATGCTTCCTGAACATTATTAATAAACTATATAAATTTAAAATATTTTCAGAAATTCTCTGAATTGATACTTACAATGAAACGGTTAACCTTTGATTTTGGTTTTTCTATTGTGGTTGTAGGTTCGCCTTTAATTGATTCGAACTTGGCCCGCAAATTCTTGGCAATATCAGCTTGGGGTAGATGATCTTCATCTTCATTCTTTTTATTTTCTCGAATAACTTCGCTTTCCCAATTTTCAAACTTTGCTTTTAAACTTTTAGCTTTATCAGCTTCTATTATAATATCATCATCACATTTATAGCTAGCTTTAATTATGTTTGGATCTCTTTCTTGTTCACATACTGGTTCATTATCTTCAACTTTTATAAAGTCTTTTGGTGCAATACGTTTTACTGGTTTAGGAGCAACAGGAGTAATAGTTTCAGGAACAGAGCTTTCTAGAGCTTTAAATTTGTCCAGCATGCGACGAGTAGTATCTGTGACCGGAATGTCATCTACAACATCAGAAGATCGTATGATATTTGGATCACGTGGAATTTCTTTATCAGTGTCACCATCCCTAGTACTGGACGAAGTTTCTTTGTAGTTTTCAAAAAATTTGAAACGTTTTGATACTTCTATACTTTCTATAACTTCTTTGGAAGTATCTGAACATTTTATCAATTCTGTTTCTACTGGTGAAGTTGGACTAAAATACTGTATTTCACGAGTCCTTCTTGGTTCATTACCTGGAGATTTATTAGGAGATTTGGCTAAAGGTAAAGGAACTTTGGCTCCAGCAGCATCAATTTGTTTAAATAAATTTCGTGCATCATGTGCAGCTGAAAAAAACATTTTATGTAAAAGAAGCAATTTATCAAAATATTTTTGAAATAAAATTTGTTAGTTTTTACCTCCTTCTGAGAAAATGCTTAAATCTTCTTCCTTTTCTTTACGCACTTTCTCTTGTTTTTCTACTTCAATGTCATTTTTAACTACACCTTTCTCAAACTTCTCCTTTATAAGTTTGGCAGAAATATCTTCTCCAACTTCTATTTCAGTTTCTGTTCGAACAGATGTCTTTGAAGTTTGTTGACAAGCCTTTTCATATATGGTTTTAACTTTTCCTGATCCATGAGAAAACTGTTTTCTAAGTTTACTTAATTCTTCTTTTTGTTCCACATTTTCATCCTTAGAAACAGTAACTGAGCCAGATTCCCACTGACTTTTCAAAGTGGACATTTCAGAAAATGATACCTATTAATAAAACAAACTATTTAAAACTAATATTTTAATAACTAAATATTAACTTTATATAAATAAGATCTACACATGTTTATATAAAAATAATATATTTCTCTATCTCATCAAAAATTCACATCTGTCAAAAATGTATAAAGTTATCTTATTACATGCATAAGAGTACATATGAGTTACCGTATAATTGTAAAATTATACAAATACAGAAATTTTAATATTTTTGTAATTTTACAATTATATAAATTATTGTGGGTAGTTCCAACTGAATTCAACTACAGGGAGGATAAAAACTCCCAACTCCAGCAGTAGCAGGCAATTAAAGGTTTGTTGTGAGGGGCATGCTTTGGTAACTATAGAATTTTTTTATCAATGTGGACTTTATCTGTATTAAAAATATCTTTATCTTATATTTTTGGTTTTAATTAATGCAGTTCAGGTAGTTGTGTATATGCTTTGTTTCTTTTTTCATGGTCATTTGTTTTTTGTAATATTACTATTATGTTATCAGATATCTACAGCCATAAGAAGCAAATTTACTTTCCTTGTATAAAACTAAACTTTTGTAAGTAGACTTATAGATAGTATTTTTGTGTATTCATTGTTTTAGTATTAATCCTACCCTACATTAGTTAAAAATAAGAATTAGTTTTATGTTATCAGATATCTAACTATCTAAATTGAGTTCTTTCAGTTACTTTTCAGGTCTATACACAGTGAGCTTCATCAATAAAAAAATGCCTAAAAGAAAGTCACAATTATCACAAAATTCATCCATGTCAAGAATTCATTGGAAAGTTTATTACTATCCAATGTAAGCTACCTTAAAACTCAGACCCCTCACTCCTTGATGATTTCATCTTCCCTACAAACTTCCAAATCCTTTGACCTATCTGAACCAAATTTCACATAGTTACTCTCTGGTACCTTAAGGGAAACATGGACTCCCCTTAAACTCTGATTCCCCAGTCTTCATCTGATTTCATCTCTATTCCCAAACCTTTTGAGTAATCTGGACAAATTTTGCATAGTCAGTCTCTACAATCCTCCAAAAAATATATGCTACTTTAAAACTTGGGAGCCTCAATCTTCCTCCTGATTTCATCCTCACAAATTGCCAAACTCTGACTGATTTGCACCAAATTTTGCTTGGTTACTCTCTTCCACCCTGCAGGAACTGTATACTACTCTATAAAGACAACTCAACCCATCCCTGAGTTTCCAGGCAACACTGGACATTCTTTGTGTAAAAATAAGTTCAAAATCATTTGTTCTTACAATGAAATGCATCTTATAATAAATGTCAGTTTTTTAATTTGGAATCAAGTTAATATATTCAAAACCTATATTAATGAGTAAAAATTTAAATACCTTTTCTTTACTTTTAACTATCTTAACATCATCACATTCATCTTCATTAGCACTCAAATGACCATTCTCCTGTTCACCTGAGACAGCAGACTGATATCTAAATTTAATGTAGTAAGAGAAAAATTAAATTCTGTAATATTAATCTAGCAAATTTTGCAATTTTAAAAATAATTTATTACTTAGCCATTCGAGCAAGAATGCTTTCCGATCTTTGTAACGTAGAATCAGAGAGAGAGTGTTGCTGTTGTTGTTCCTGAGGTGATTCAAACCATGATCTTATATTACTCAAATCTGGTATCTTTTCCAAACCATCTGCAGCTTTAGTATCAGCTAAAAAATTTCACAGTATTAAACAATATATTTATTGGGAGTTTTTTATTTAATAAGAAAATTATAAATTAATGTTTGTGGAAACATTTGTGAACTAGAGCTGTGTGTTACAAACTTAAACAGATAAAATAATCAGTTGTAAATTTGAGAAAACAACTCTAGCTTATCCATATGTACAGTACATAAAGTTTCCAGAGTAACTAAACAAAAAGATTATTATTTCATCTTGATTAAGGCCAAATGATCTGTTGGATTTTATCAGGCTACTATTTAATAATTAAATATTAACTAATTTTGTTTAGAAGTAGGCAATTAAAATGCCATCTCTTGATAAATTTAATAATTATAAATATATTAATATTTAATTTTTAATTTAGAAAATTCTGGATGAGTCGGTCCAGAGCAGGACTTAAACCAGACATTGTCAGTTACACTACCAGAATTGCCACAGTGTTTGGCATTAATCAAAAATCAGATTAATGGCAATTTATATTTCATATTGAATTATCCTAGTACATTTAAAAATGATATATACAATTCACTATTTGCAAAAAAGCATTATGTTCAACTTTGCAGATATGTAAAAATAATTAATTCATTCTATTTCTAAACATTTTCCAAAATATTTAGAATATTTAAAATTTCCTTTAAATATTTTATATTTGGAAATTGTTTTGAATTAGAATATCAATTTAAAAACACACTAATAATGAAAAATAATAAACAAATTAACAATTATTGTTTAGAAACTTCTTTACTCTCATATTAATGCAAGTGAAGTTTCTATAATCTTAAATGTTCATTTAAATTCTTAAAAAATGATAAACTAAACAAGTGTTAAAGTTGAATAACATTATTTCTGTCAAGAGTTTATACTAATAAAACATGAGATATATTTTAGTTTATATTAATTTCTTACTGTTTCAATACACATTTGCAGCTTTTCTTAGAATAGTCAATATATATTAGTTGAGCATTAATTAACCTGTTAATTGTCAGCATTTTATTCATTCAGATACTATTCAACAGCAATATACTGGTTGGTCTACTTATAATAAATACATCAAAATATTAAAATCTTGATCAGAGTAAGTTATTTTCAAAAAGCCTTTTCCATTTCATAAAAATTACAGGGGTAGGGAACAACTAGAAATTTTTCAATTTTTGGATATTATTCTATCATTGAGAAAAGTTATTTGTTAAATTAAAAAATTATAAGCATTTTTAATTGTATTTTCAAAAAATAACAGTTAAATAAATGCTTTTTATGATCTAATTTATTGTAACTAACAAAGTCACTTAAAATGTCTTTAATGATCAATATTTACATAATTACATAATTATGTAACCAAGATTGAAACTTACATAATTTTCATTCAAATTTTTTTGAATGCAAAATGTTTTGGAGTAATTGGCTTAAGGAATTTGTTTTATTTGTAATATTTGTTTTGTTCCTTCAAAATACATATTTTCATATATAAAAGTATATAAAATTACTAATCATTAAACAGATGCCCTAGCAGAACATTTTTTTAATCAAAATCGCAAATCTTAACACATTGATTGCCAACTAGAGTTATCTTATAGTTTTCAATTGAACAACAGTAATATTGTCTTTCATGTTTTGCCAGGTAACTATTTACTATGGGAATAGTCTTATTATAACTGATTAATGGGTGTCATGAATGTGAATGTTATTGATTGGACATTATAGAACAAACTATAAAGTTTAAAATATGATAAGATTTTCTGTTTTAATTGCTAGATACAAGCATCTTCATAGTAACTATACTAAATGTAGTGGCTAATTTGTGCCTGAAATATGAATGACAAATCAATTTTGTGTCATAAAAGAAAGTTTATTAAAAAAAAAAAAATATATATATATATATATTGAAAGACAAAAAAACATTTATATATATATTTTTTAATTACACAAATTATCTCATAGGTGGTGTCTGCAAAAGAAAAGTTACTTCACTCGCAACTAAGAAATAATTTGCATCAATAGTTTTTTGCTAAATATTAATTATTAATATGAATTAATAATTAAAAATAAATATAAACAATTTAAAATAGCAAATAAATATTGCATAATCAAAATGGCACACAGGACATGACCGTCAGGAGCATTATACACAAACATATTAAATAATTTATTTGTATATTTGATAAATAAAATAATTTGAAATAAATATAAAAAGCAAACGAGCAATTAGGCTGCAATCTTTAATCATATTTTTAATTTATTTAATTTAAAATACAGTGGATGATCAGTTAATGAATAAATTGGATAATGAACACTTTTGCAAAAAACTTTTATGTTTGGATAGTGAACATCTCACAGAACAAACACAAGAAGAAGAAACATAATGAATACTGATTGGTCTTCCTTTGTCTTCAGGCAACAATTTGAAACTTTTCAGTGTGTGGGAGATGTCAACATTGATGCTCAACCTGCTATATACTGATTGGATAATATTCTTCCGAACTTTGAAACTCCCTTACAATTCCAGCCTTTTATTTTTCTGACAGAAACAATTCTTTTATAGTATTCTTGAGACTAATGGGTGGGCACTCGTTAAGTTTTGCATCAGTTTTTATTTTCAAAAGGTGAGAGTATAATAGCAAAGATAGAGAGTGGGCAGAAGATGTCTGATGTTGCTGAGCAGTATGGCTTGAACATGTCTACACTAGGCTGCAGTTCAATCTTATCTAAGAAAGATACAGTATAATCAAGAAGACTCAAGCAGCTAAAGGAGTAACAAAAATCACATCCGAGAAATAAAGAACATTGAAGAGCTCATAATGGGACCTGAAACTGATCTGATGAAAGAAGAATGCCAAGAACTCTTGAATGAAGAACACCAAGAAACTTGGAGAGATATGTTTTCTTCTGAAAAAGAGGATTAATGATGATATCTGCTATTAAAGATCTTTTCAAGATGTGGGAAGATGTCAGAATAATAGTCTTAGAATGGCATCCAAACCAGGTTTAGGTTAATAGGCTTAGGGATCTCTACAATTACAATGCTATTAATTACTTCTGAAAAATCCTGAAGAGAGAAAAGCAATTGACATTGGACAAATTCTTTAACCCCCACAAACGGAAAAAACATAACTAATAAAAATGCAAGACTGTGTATATATGTATTTTTATTACTGTATTACATATAAATAAACCTAGTAAGAAAGTATATATTTTTTTATTTTTTGCGGTCTCCAAAATGAATAAATCAAATTACCATAAAAACCTATGGTAAATTGATAATCAGTTAACGAACAATTTGGATAGCAAACAAAGTCTTGAAACGGATTATGTTTGTTAACTGATCACCTACTGTATAATGCTCTCCACCTCAAATTAGTAGTAGTGTCTTGCCCCTGTACATCATACTTTTCTGTTAGCAATGGAGTCGTGCCAGTCATCTATTAACTGCTTTCAGGGGAAGTTTTGAAATAATGTGACCTCCAGTTTGCATCAGAACTTCCAGCCCCTAAGGTTTCCATATCTAGTCTCAGATTTCAACTAACTAACTCCATTCTCGAGATTAAAGAAAAACAGATTGGCAGACAACAGTATAAATTTATGGGTCTACAATTTTTTCAAATTGCAGCCCAATAATAGAAAATTTAGAGAAACAAAACTATTGTTCTTTCATCAAGAATTCAAAACTAAGAAAATATGCAGTTCAATTTGAAAACCTAAAGTTTCCCCAGCCCCTTATAAGGAAGCAGCTTAATATTTTTGAAACTGAAAAGGCCCCTTGAAAACAATAACTTTTATTCTAATTATTTTTTTTTAATTGGATACATATTTTTAAAAATTTTTGTTTGTTATAATAGAAATTCTGAAATTATGAAACTAATTAATAAATTAACTTATAATTGAAAGATAATATTTCAGACCCTTGATGATTTCTTAAGGTTAATGATTAAAAGATTAAAACTATTAACTTATCCAAAAAAATTTTTGTAATTGAATTTCATGATTTAAATCCAAAATATACTTTATCAAAAACTTACATCGTATTACATCTGGTGGCAATTCCACAGGAGTACTTTCACTGATTATCAATTCATGTTTTTTTGAAACACCTATAACAATTTATTATGTAGCTTAATTAGCTATTTCTCTTTCATATACTTTGCAAAAAAATTGTTTTGTGTGAAATTTAATTTTGTTTATCTTTAAAAACTTTTAAAATAATTCTCAGAAATCAAAAATAAAAATATGTCACTATATAAGCAACACAAAATACTTTCTTGAAGAGAAAGAAAAAAAGGAAGAGTTACTTTCTTCAAGATACATAAAAAAGAAATAGATGTTTTAAAGAAGAAATTGGTGTTTTAAAACATATCTTTATTCTGTCTTAATGCTTTTAAAAAAACTGTTAAAACAATCTTTCAATTATAAAATTTATTGTAACAATTTATTATTTAAATTACTCTATTTACAAATATCACTTCTATATTGCATTACATCACTTCTATATGCTGAGAACACAACCCATAACAAAATGAGCTATAATCATTAAACTAGCCCGATAGAATTTCGGCATTTCGTTGGTGTTTAGTTATAATCATAAATGTTCATATGACAGCAATGCCATTTTGAACTAATTGCTTTCATAGTTTATCAAAACTTAAATTGTTGAGTAGGAATAAATAAAAGATTGAAGTTATTCATTCAATTGATTTTTGTTTGTTTACAACTAGAACACGTTCTACTCAAAATGTGATCATAGCAGGTTAATTTTTGTTAAATTTTAGTTGTGTCACTAAAGCAGAGAAATTTGAATAAGTTTTGAAGATTTTGTGATGGAATAATGACATGACACAAACATTTTACTGTAAATGATTGGGAGTCTCATGATTCAAAATCATTAAAATTGACAATTTTGGAGTTACATTGCTAATATTCTCAGAGGGTGATATAATCTATATATATATATAAAAATGGACATGTATGTCCCTATATTTCACTTTNATATATAAAAGTTGAACAAGCATTTTTTACCAAAAAAAATTCTCTTTCATAAAATAAATACTTATATGTGAAAAAAAATATCTTCAAGCCTGTTTTCATTATTGGAAATACCAAAATTATTATTTTTTGTTATAATATATGCTTCTATGTAATTATAAAGTATGTAGGGAATGTAACAAAAAGCTTATTAAAAGAAAGAATAAAATGCTGAATAAATGATTTTGCTTCAACGAAATGCACATCTGTTGATAAAACAATAATATAGATTTGAAAATGTTTGGTTATCTTAATTTTTTAATTACAGAATTATCAAATGATTTCTTAAACATTTATATAGAACAATTTTATTAGATGCTAGCATCCCTGTCGTGGCCTGCCCGCTCTTATATACATATAGAACTTAGAAAATTTGAACTAATTGTTCATTAATTATTTTTGAGTGATCAATGTGTAGTATTGCAGTAGAGTTTTGCAAAATATAAAAAAATAAAATCATAAAACTTCTGAATAAGTTATATTGATGTGAAACATAAAAAATTCCTCGCTACACGCATTCGATTCTGAGCCGAACGAATTCATTGCCCTTCCAGTCTTTGCTGTAGAAGTGTAGATTCACGTCGTCTACAATTATGAACTGTTTCTTCCTATTCGTGCTCTTGCAGCTCTCGGCATGATTTATCAATCAATCTCAAAAATATTCACCAATAACTATTTCAAATATTTTGTACAATTACCTGCAGAAACAATTCGAAAACCCACCATAAGTACCGTACACACATGGCCATCTAGCATGATGACGTCACTTTTTTAATTCCTCAAAGATTTTGCTAATTAACTAATTATAATTTAATGTCAGTTCTTCAAATATACAGTAACAGTAAACTTCAATAATAGACTTTTCTTATAGACAGCATGTGTCGCCATCTAGTGAAGAGAGGGAGAGAAATAGACAGACAAAAATCCGTTGCAGTTTTATTTAATTAATAAAAAATCTGTAGGTTTGATTAATGGTAAACATTCCAGGGATCATAAAGATGCTACAGTTAAAGTTTGATAACGATTGGTTCAGTAGTTTTCACGGTTAGTGGTCACAAACAAAAAATATGTTCTCTCTTTATATAGTAGTATAGATTCAAAAGTATTTCTCATTCAACATGAGAAAAATACATTAGGAAAAATCAGTGATAAATAAATCACCAGGTATGGTTTGAACAAAATCAAAATATAATGTGTTCAATTAAATTTACATTTAAAAAAAAAAAAAATTTTTAATTTCTGATTCCATTTCTCTCTTAAATTCACAATAAATCAAATTACAAAAATTTTAAGTTTAGAAGAATACTATTTTGAATAATTGAAATAGTTCTGGGGATTTCATTTTTAAACTGTTCTACAAGAAGATTTAGGAAGGTTTCTAAAAGGTATAACTTAAGGAATTCTGAAAACATCATATGATTTTAAACACCATTTCTTCAAAGATACACACTGATTATTTTGTTATTTACGAATGAAAAAGAAAAACTAAATATGAAAAATGCATATTTAAGAAGTTAGTAACAGTTTAAAATTGAATGTGATACTCTTTTGTTATTATTGAAATCTTACAATTTATAAAATTTGAAATATTCCAAAAATAGAAAAAGAAAATTCTAGAAAATATTAGGTTTAAAGAAATTATTCAAAAATCCTTGTTATAAAGTTGTCTTTTGAGGTTTTTCTGATACTTAATTTCAGAGATAAATTAACAAAGATATTTAAAACACAGGTAAATGTATTATTTATAAATAAATTGTCAAACTAAAAAAAGAATTTCATACTATTTTTATTACATTACTGCTGAAAAATTTAAGAACTACAGTAAAAAACTTTAGGGACAGAAGAGAACAGCTCAGTTCCAACATGCATTTCAAATATTTATATTTGAATTACACTTTTCCTCTTCCTATATAACATATTTGTTGCCAGTTTACTTTTTTTAATAAATATAATAAAAATATATGAACAAGTCTTTTTTGCATTAAGTAGTAGAGCTTCAAACATGATAANATACGACATGAAATTCAAACATATTTTTGCTCCATGATACGAACAAAAACTCACCATACGACATTACATTAGTTCACAGGTCCATTTTTCATTCATTTCTGTTCATTGGTCTCAGTCCGCGTGTTTGCTTTGTCATGGAAGGATCTCGCTTGATAAAGGAAATCTTGAGGTATTATCAGAAAGTGACTGATTTTATTAAAAAGAAACATCCCGAAAAGGTTTACACTGACCATATTGCTGCTCAGAGTAAAGACATTTGCCTAAGTCATTTTAGAAACATTTTAAAAAATAGGCAAAGCCAAACCTCTTTGGATAGATATTTACCAAGTGACCTCTATCCAGGGAAAGTGCTGGTGGAAGTGAAAGAAATAAAGCAAAAAGCAGTGAATAAAAATTTTAAAAATATATATACAGGTAGCCCCTTGGTTTACGCCGGTTCAATTTATGCCGATTCACAATAACACCGCTGCGCAATTCGCCGTTTCGAGGTGTAATTCCCCGATTTTCCCTATGCTAGACTGATTTTCATTTCAGTGTTGACGATTTACTGAGCCGCGACATTGTACATTCATTAAAACAAAGATTTTTATTAAATATATTTATTTTTTCTGTTTAATATTATTGGGTATACAGGTATACCTCGACTTACGTCGTTTCGAGTTACGTCGTTCCCGATTATACGTCGTTTGTCAAAAAAGTATACGAAAAAATAAAAATCAAGTTTAAGTCATTTTATTCGACTTTACGTCTGTCCGCNAAATAAATTGTCAAACTAAAAAAAGAATTTCATACTATTTTTATTACATTACTGCTGAAAAATTTAAGAACTACAGTAAAAACCTTTAGGGACAGAAGAGAACAGCTCAGTTCCAACATGCATTTCAAATATTTATATTTGAATTACACTTTTCCTCTTCCTATATAACATATTTGTTGCCAGTTTACTTTTTTTAATAAATATAATAAAAATATATGAACAAGTCTTTTTTGCATTAAGTAGTAGAGCTTCAAACATGATAACTTAAAACTCAGATTACATAATTTCAAGTATTTAATACATGATTAATCTTCAATAATTTATTAATTTAAATCATGTATTAAAATTTATGAAGAAATTTATTGGAAATACAGGATGTTTGTAATGTTACAAATTATTTGTTTTTAATTCTACCAAGTTACTATAATTGCCCAGTTTTTAGTTTAATAAGTCAAACTAAAGTTTTTAATTATATATTTTAACAAAAATTTATAAATTTATATATACCTTACATAACATTGTAATTTTGAATTAAATTATATTTTAATAATTTGAATTATTTATAATCAAAAATTTTTTTAGAAATTCAATTTTATAAAGAAATAGAACTCAAACATCCTGTATCAAATTAGAGTCAAATATGTTTAAATAGCCAGTTTATAAAAATAGGTATTATTATTGTTATACATTTATTAAATGTAGCAATTAAAAGATTATTTAAATCATGGATTATGTTAGCAATTCTTAGGCATACATTCTAATTTAAAATTTTCTTCAAATATAAGCATACCTTGAGGAGAATCCAAATCATCATCTACTTTGGAAACTTGCAAAAGAAAAATTTTGATGCAAAAATAATTTCCAAACAAATTCATAATTTGCACATTTTAGTTAATAAAATTTAAATGTACTTATTAATTTATTAAACAAAATTAATTTTAGCTCTTACTTATAAATATATAATTGTAATTAATTACAAATGTTTATACTGAAAACAATTTAGAAGTTAATTTTTCATTATTTTATGCATTTACTTCATACCATTTGAAAGCATTTCATGCATCAAACTTTCTTAAATGCCATCAAGTTTTCTTCAAGATATTTCAATATGATTACTTATATTTCTTTTTTTTAGGTAAAAATCTTCAACACATTGCTTTTGTATTAATTTCATAAAATATAAAGTGAGAAAAAGTTGATGCTTAGATAATAACCATCAACTTCTTATAAATTATTTAAATAAAGTTATCATCATATGAAAACAAAATACTGAATCTTGGCAACAATATTAAAAACTTTTTAAAATTAAAAATTGTCAGATGAAAGCTGAAATTTAGAACTTTGTAATCATACTTTTTGGCATTTCTATTCACAAGATAATTTTATATAAATATAATAGAGATTTACTATGATACATTAGACATTTATGATATGATTACAAGGTTATCCATACAAAATTATAGTACTCTAAATTTTAGCAATAAAAACAAATTCAAGTAAAAACTTTTATTTCTGAATACATGAGGATTATTAAATATATTTTATATTAATTTTATAATTCACAGTATTGTAGAATTTATATGCTTTGATTTTGTTTTATGAAAAAAAATCATGGAACTGAAAAGAAATCACACCTTTTTGTTATATAAAAAGGATTAATTGAAATGAAGTTAGATATCACAGTGATCATACTTTCATTTCAGAAACACAATTTGGAATTTAGCATTTACATAAATTTAATTTTCAAATAATTTCTAAATATCAGCTTTTGCCAAAAATTTATTATCAAAATACATATTATGGTTTAACCATCTCATTTTAAAATCTCATTTTAAAAAGTTATTATAAAATGCAAATACTTGCATGGCATAATTAAGAAAATTTGAATAATAGAAAAATGTATGATAAAAAAAAATTGGTTACCATATATCTGTGCAGATAAGACGACCTTCAGATAAGATGAGGTATAAATTTTTATCAAAGTTTTATAGTTTTAGCAAATATCTATCCTATAAGACGACCCCAAACTATCAATGGTCTATGAATTTAGTTTAGATCAGGGACCATCTGGATAATAATACTGTATAGCATATATGAAATTATGTCCTATTCGTAATTTTTTGAATGAACAAATTTTATTTTCTTGCATCTCACAGCACTGCCTTGCAATTGTTGCAAACATTTGCACTGATTCGGGCATTCGGATAATGACCTTGACTATTCACAAAAACATCGTATAGGCTATAGGCTATTCTATTTTGTGGACATACCCTACTCTCTACTAGTAAATAATTACAGTTTGTCCATTTTTTTATAATGGTTTTAATTTATACAAATTTCAATCTAATTTTTTTGTATCCTATAAGACGACCCCGGATTTTGGGGGTCTTTTTTTTTATTCAACTATCATCTTATCTGTGCAGATATACAGTAATTACTTTCCAAATGTAAAAAATAAATCTTACAGAAATGGTCATATGACATTGGCAAAATTGCCTATTTAAAACCAGGCTTTTAAATACATTTATTTATATATTTAGATAAAACAAAAACAAATGTGAAAAGCCTAAATAAACATTTANCAATTACAACAAAGTTTTAAAAACATCAAATTTGACATTTTAAAAATTGTTTCATTATTACCAAACCATGTTAATTTTTGATTAGTTAAAATTATTTCCTTAATCATTAGAAGAATTACCATGAGAAAAAAGGTTACACATCTGTTAACATGTTTATAATTTATTAATTAAACTTGAGCAATTTCAGAAAGAAAATGGTGAAAAAGATAGATCTAAGTTATATTGTGAACTCAAATTCTTGCTTATTGCAGAAATATGTTAATGACATTAACCAAATCACATCAATTTAGAAAGAGTCTAAACAGATTTTATAACATAGTTGATAATATACATGTCTAGAATATACGAATTTTGGATTAATGTTTTTTTCTTTTGGAAAATTCTAAATTATTAATTAATAAAAAAAATAAGTTAAAATTAATGATTAAACAATCTTATAAATGATTAACGACACAAATAGGTTTAAAAAAATAATAATAATAATAATAAATATTATTATTGTGATTTTGGCAAAATCAGAGGCACAAGATCTGTTATTTACTTAAATATTTTTTCTCTTTTTTAAAAAGTTTTATTTGTAACTAATTCATGATAATGTTTCCTATTTTACAGAAATGGTTTTTCCTATAAGCAAATTAAGATGCTGCTTAAAACTGAAACAAGAGGTTTAGAAATAATTTTAATAAATAGTTATAAATTTACAAATGTACATAATTACAGAGTAATATTTTATAAAGGTCGTTCAAATGAAACAGCAAGAGATTCAGAAATGATTAAGAAATATTTAGGCTGAGCACTCAGCCTAAATATTTCTTAATCATTTCTGATCAAATAATCATGTGCTGCCCAAATAATTGAGGTACCAAACACTTTTTGTAGGCATCATATATCAGCAGAAACCAGCAATCAGCAGATAAGCCTAAGATAAATCCAATTAAAAATCTTACAATAACAGAGTGGAACTCTGCTAGATTGCTACGTCAACATGTCAAACCAAAGTCAAAACAACCAAGAATCTGCTGTGGCAGTATGCCACATTGTCTTTTTTTTCTCCTTTATTCTTCTTATGATCTTCCCTGTTTTTTGTTCTTTCTGCCTTCTAGCACTTTATAATTCTCTTAATTCTTCTTTCTTGAAGGTGAGGACCACTTCCTAGTATTTATCAACTTATTGTATAAGAGGTTACCTAGGACATACAAGGTAAAGGAGCTAGTGCTCGAAGAGAGAGGATGACAAAAACGAAACCCATTATAGTGTGATGCCTGAGTAGACAGGTGAAGTAAAAACTTCAAGCAAGAACTTTGAAATCCCTGGACCGAAGTTAGTGTGTTAGAGTCAGCATTTCATCTTGACAAATCCAAACATGCAACTGATTATCGGAATCAAATAAATTGGAATCAAGAATCAAAACTATTGGAATCAAAACTGACTATTGGAAAACCCTCAAACTGAGAAAAAGGAAGACAGAAGAAAGAATTGTGTGTTCAAGAAATTTCCACATGGCCCTCATGGTAACCAAACATCATTTGGATTACCCAGGTATTCTTTACCATCCTATCCATCTTCACTACTTCTCACCCCTACCTTCTATTTCCTTTGTAAGTAAAAATTAGTATCAAGGGTTAGTTTTAAGAGAATTATTCTTGTAATATTTATTCTTATGTATTGTATCAGATTAGTGTTATCATGATTCCGTGTGCTGTGGTCATTTGTGTTTTGTAATTTCCATCAACAACCAGATCAAAGGTTTCTGCTGGAGAAACTATTCTAGAACTAAAATCCTTGATTGAACCTCTAAATAATTATTACATCACATGTAAATAAATTAATTTTCTCACATCTACTGCATGTTTCATTTGTGGGTGTTTGCCTTATTAGGGTAACAAAAACTGATATCTCACACTGACAGCCTACCATCTATGATCTAATCAGAAATAAGAAAGATATAATTCCAAAGGAGCTATCAGCTTGAGTATACAAAATTTCAGTAATGATGAAAAAGAATAATCATCTCAGTGTTTACATTGGCAGTACATTAAAAGGGCAGACTGTTTGAATAGACACAATATTAAGAAAGTACATAAATCCATGGCCTTAGCCAAAGAATCTCCAACAAGAATATCATACCAGTTTGGCAAGACANCACCCAATTACAACAAAGTTTTAAAAACATCAAATTTGACATTTTAAAAATTGTTTCATTATTACCAAACCATGTTAATTTTTGATTAGTTAAAATTATTTCCTTAATCATTAGAAGAATTACCATGAGAAAAAAGGTTACACATCTGTTAACATGTTTATAATTTATTAATTAAACTTGAGCAATTTCAGAAAGAAAATGGTGAAAAAGATAGATCTAAGTTATATTGTGAACTCAAATTCTTGCTTATTGCAGAAATATGTTAATGACATTAACCAAATCACATCAATTTAGAAAGAGTCTAAACAGATTTTATAACATAGTTGATAATATACATGTCTAGAATATACGAATTTTGGATTAATGTTTTTTTCTTTTGGAAAATTCTAAATTATTAATTAATAAAAAAAATAAGTTAAAATTAATGATTAAACAATCTTATAAATGATTAACGACACAAATAGGTTTAAAAAAATAATAATAATAATAATAAATATTATTATTGTGATTTTGGCAAAATCAGAGGCACAAGATCTGTTATTTACTTAAATATTTTTTCTCTTTTTTAAAAAGTTTTATTTGTAACTAATTCATGATAATGTTTCCTATTTTACAGAAATGGTTTTTCCTATAAGCAAATTAAGATGCTGCTTAAAACTGAAACAAGAGGTTTAGAAATAATTTTAATAAATAGTTATAAATTTACAAATGTACATAATTACAGAGTAATATTTTATAAAGGTCGTTCAAATGAAACAGCAAGAGATTCAGAAATGATTAAGAAATATTTAGGCTGAGCACTCAGCCTAAATATTTCTTAATCATTTCTGATAAAATAATCATGTGCTGCCCAAATAATTGAGGTACGAAACATTTTTTGTAGGCATCATATATCAGCAGAAACCAGCAATCAGCAGATAAGCCTGATAAGATAAATCCAATTAAAAATCTTACAATAACAGAGTGGAACTCTGCTAGATTGCTACATCAACATGTCAAACCAAAGTCAAAACAACCAAGAATCTGCTGTGGCAGTATGCCACATTGTCTTTTTTTTCTCCTTTATTCTTCTTATGATCTTCCCTGTTTTTTGTTTTTTCTGCCTTCTAACACTTTATAATTCTCTTAATTCTTTCTTGAAGGTGAGGACCACTTCCTAGTATTTATCAACTTATTGTATAAGAGGTTACCTAGGACATACAAGGTGAAGGAGCTAGTGCTCGAAGAGAGAGGATGACAAAAACTAAACCCATTATAGTGTGATGCCTGAGTAGACAGGTGAAGTAAAAACTTCAAGCAAGAACTTTGAAATCCCTGGACCGAAGTTAGTGTGTTAGAGTCAGCATTTCATCTTGACAAGTCCAAACATGCAACTGACTATCGGAATCAAATAAATTGGAATCAAGAATCAAAACTATTGGAATCAAAACTGACTATTGGAAAACCCTCAAACTGAGAAAAAGGAAGACAGAAGAAAGAATTGTGTGTTCAAGAAATTTCCACATGGCCCTCATGGTAACCAAACATCATTTGCATTACCCAGGTATTCTTTACCATCCTATCCATCTTCACTACTTCTCACCCCTACCTTCTATTTCCTTTGTAAGTAAAAATTAGTATCAAGGGTTAGTTTTAAGAGAATTATTCTTGTAATATTTATTCTTGTGTATTGTATCAGATTAGTGTTATCATGATTCCATGTGCTGTGGTCATTTGTGTTTTGTAATTTACACCAATGACCAGATCAAAGGTTTCTGCTGGAGAAACTATTCTAGAACTAACATCCTTGATTGAACCTCTAAATAATTATTACATCACATGTAAATAAATTAATTTTCTCACATCTACTGCATGTTTCATTTGTGGGTGTTTGCCTTATTAGGGTAACAAAAACTGATATCTCACACTGACAGCCTACCATCTATGATCTAATCAGAAATAAGAAAGATATAATTCCAAAGGAGCTATCAGCTTGAGTATACAAAATTTCAGTAATGATGAAAAAGAATAATCATCTCAGTGTTTACATTGGCAGTACATTAAAAGGGCAGACTGTTTGAATAGACACAATATTAAGAAAGTACATAAATCCATGGCCTTAGCCAAAGAATCTCCAACAAGAATATCATACCAGTTTGGCAAGACAGATTACATTACTCATTGCTAAAAATCTACCTTGACTCACCAAAATCCTTATTTTAACACCAGCAGGAGTTTAATATTTCCAGTGGATGTTGACAAACATTTTCAATCTAATTATAGATATGCTTCAGAACTTAAACTTTTTGTTCTATTTTGGAATTTGAAGAATGATATAAAATTTCAAACTTTGGAATAAATGATTAAGTTTAAAATCATGTTCAATGTCATGTTCTTAAAATAACTATTTACATACTTTAAATTAATGTTAGATATTTATGTATTTAAACAGATGTTATATAAATTATATAGGTTACCTATGTAAATTTAGATAACTTCTGAAAACCTGAAACAGACCTATAATTAGGTCAAAAATGTTTTTGTCAAAAATGTCCAAAAAACATTTAATCTGAAATTACATCCACAGGAAAGATTAAATGCCTGCTGGTGTTAAAATAAGGATTTTGAGTCAATTAAACAATCCAGCTTATACTAGAAGCAGTTGGTGAAAAAATGTATCCATCTAGAGTGCTGAAGAACTTACTATTGCAACTACCATAGAGCTTATCTCCTAAACAAAAGAAATTTAGGTCCAGATCCAAAAATATGGCTGATAAATTTTAAAGTGGCAATAAAACTAATCCATGTGGCTAGCCAGTTCAAATACACTTCATAAGAAAGTAAAAAGTCACAGTTTAGTGTGACATTTAACAAAGAATTCCTGCATGTCAAATGTTTACACAATTATTAGTTTTTTTGTTTCTGATATTTCAAATTTTATTTTTGTTTTACTTCAGTCTTTTCCAAATGCTTATTTCTTGCTTCATTTTATTTCTTCCTGTTTCATATGTTTTTTAATTTTTATCTTATTTTTATTGAATACTTTATAGTCCATTACACATTCAAACTTTTAAACTTTCCAAACACTTGGAACAACAAACATTGAAGAGATGAACCTATTCAAGTTCTGCAGGATCTGATAATGGGATATATAGTCCCAAAAACATTTAATCTGAAATAAAACCTATTCCTTCAATGATTGTAATGTTCCATTATACTTTATTATGTAGATATGAAACTTGCCTAATTGTTATATTTCTGTATGCCTTACATTCTATATTTCAACATATTTCTTATAGAAATGTGAAACTTGGCCTCATATCATAATTTAAAAAGAGAAAACTGCTAAGTTCAAGAAACAAAAATTTAGAAAAATTAAATTATTAAAAAGCAAGGATCTTCAGCATCTTAAAATTCAAAATGAAAAATTCTTCTTGGCAATTTCAACTAAAATTCAAAACATTCTAAGAATCATTTTAATTTCATAAATATTAATTAATAAATTTTTATTAAAAACAAAATTAATACAATCATAAATAATTTGTTATTTAGAGTTCTAAACTTTAGCTGGAATGTGATGATGAATGACTTCAAAATAACAATGAGGATTTTGTATATTTAGCATTAAATACATTATATTTAACTAGCCTAATAAGGCATAAATGCCAAAAAAATTCAAAAACTTTTTGGATAGCAATTTCTCATTTATTAGCCTGTTTTTAGTTTGGAAGTTATATTACGGTTAATAGGAAATTAAAATCCCTCATGAACTTTGAGTTCATTTTTATTCAGATTCCATTATTTTTAAAAAGAAAAATTACACCAAGTGGATTAAATTCTCTCTCTCTCCATTCAGTTAATCCTGAAAAATAAGAGGATCTATGTATCACCTTCTTATGTACATGAAATTAACACACATTTACAAATGAATCAAGACTTCATTATGATCCAAAGTTTTGGTAAGAAAAGATCTATTTTAAAAAATTTATCTGAGCACTTCATGTAAAATATAAAATTATATACATTGATACATTTTATGTTGCTAATATCATAGATAATTATTCCAATTAGTTTTTTGAAAATTTTATACTTTAGTAATATAAACTATTTTCAAATTTTACAACTTGTCTTCAAAAGACAAAATTACTTGTAAAGAAGGACAAATTACTATTTTATTTATAATTTGTTCTAATCTTTTTTTTGTAATTAATTNAACTTGATTTCTAAATAAAAATATGTTTTTTAAATATCATTATCATTTCTAATAGGTATAATTAAATATTATTATTCTTAATTTAAAATGTTTATATTTTCTACTTAATTTTTACAAACATTTAATTTGAATTCTTTAGTTGACAAAGTATTTAAGAAAACTTAATTTTATTAATCTTCAGCTATTTTGCAAAATCTGTAATCATTTTATTCAAATTAATTATATAAATTAAATAAATATACTATACAATCTATTAAGATATAATTTATTTTTTATGTAAAAATATCGAATCAAATTATTAAATGCCAATTCCCACTTTGGATTTTAAAGAGAGACAGTCAAAATTAGTGCAATTTGTCTTTGTTGAAAATCTACTTTTCAGGTCTCATTATGGCTGACTGGTTGCTAAACCAATGCAATTTTGACCATAATATCAATACATAACACTAATTATTTAATTAAAAACAAACAATGTGGCTACAACTCTTATGTATCATATATGTTAATTGTTGTCTATTTTAACTAAATATTGGGAGAAAAATCAATTTGAAAAAGTTCTATACAAGTAAAAATAAAATCCTATGTGTCATCTTGGATGCTCCAACAAAGACATTCCCTCTATTCTACATTATGGAATGACAGTTTTCTTACCTGAAGTTATATTAAATGATTCTGAGATACAGAAATGTTAAGCCAAACTCAACTTCATTTGTAAATTTTAAATCTGAAAACTATTTTACTTTCATTACAAACATTTTCTGTTACTATTCCATTTAAGTGGGAACTGGCTTTGCCATTTATTCAATCATTAATAACAATAATATAAAAATATAACACAGATCACTCATCAAAAGATATAAAAAAGAAAGAATGAAAAAACATTCTCAAAACATTTGATAAACCATTCAAAGTAAATAGTATTTTATAAATTTTAAATAAACAGCATCATGCAAATATATAAGTATATATATATTTATTTTGACTATTTTATTTAATATTGTTGGCCATGCAACTTTTTAAAATGTGGCTAAAGAAAAAAAAAACTTGTTCTAAACTCAAATTATCTAAACAGATATACTACATATTGAAACAAAACTGAACATAAACACCATATGGCCAAATTCTCTTATTTGGACATTAATATTTTTCATTAATCACAGCTTACCAAAGATTTAACTGATATGCCAGTTTCAATCACCTCTTGGCCTTTTGATACAGCTACATCTTGTGGTTTGATGAGGCTACTTTTCTATATAGCACAGAAGTTGGAAAATATAATTACAGCAATAAAAACTAGAATTTTTAGCCTCAATTTTCTGTTCTTTAGTTATATACATTTAAAAAACAAAACCAAATCACACTGCAAATTTTTATTCTTTATTTGTTTATATAATATGAATTATTAAAAAATTAAAATCTTATACTGTATCTACAGTTTAGATAAAAGATAAAAGTTCCAACAGCCTTTAAAATCAACAAAAAATTTTTATATACATAAATTCACAATAGAAGTATAAACTGTTATGATTATTAAAAAATGTTGTTATATAAAATTTTCTTGCTGGAATGTAAAGGTCTGTGGAATTTGTTTTATTTAATAAATGAACCAGTACAAAGTTTTATGTATAACAAATATATACAGTAGACTCCCCTATAAAACAGGTTCATATAATACGGATTCGTATATCATGGCAAAAAATTTGCGATCGTATTCGTATAAACACGCTAAAAGAGACTCGTATAATACGGTAAAATGTCATCGCTAACTCGTGTCGTGACAGGATTGGTCAAGTCTAGACCAATAGTGGATATTGCACAAACCATTGAGTTTAAATGAGCAGCGGACCTACTAAAAGCCATTTATTATTTAACGGCCATAAAAATTATATTTATATTAATGATGTCTCCAAAGTTCAGCGAATTTTTTGCAGAAAGAATAACTTATCAGAAAACATGCACCCGCCATTCGATGCGCCACTCCACGACGAAAACAAGCTTAATTAAGCAATGGCATCGTCGAATGGTGCACACTCGATAAGTAATCCTACAATTTTTTGTTTATAGTATAGTTTATATGAATTATTCCCAAAAAATTATATGTGTTTTGGAAACGTTGAGTCAAATTAGTCTAGAATCAATTAATTTTATGGAAGAAAACCTTTCAAACAGCCATAGTCCCTAAACTGCATATGTGCCGGGCTGTGATTGGCTCATGTATTTAAGTGATCATAAAACACAAACGTACTTACTGTATTATAGGAGGGTCTACTGTACTATATAACTTCTGAATAAAGTCTGAATACAATAATATATATAGTAGATATTGGTTACATCTACTAAACACAAATTTGTGATATCTGTATTTTTATTTTCATATTCATGTATGTTATTTTACTGATTCATTTTATTAATGTTTAAAATTAGTATCAATGATTTATAATAAGATTAATCCAGAAAATATTTTTAGCAACATATTTAGGAAAAATTAAGAAGTTACATGTTAAGAAATTTGTTAGAAAAAATTATTAGCAAGTTCAAATAATAGTAATAGTATATTTTAATTCTTATCTTTTTATTCTCAAAAGCTTCGATGTATATTATTCTAATAAGGCAAGTTTTTCTTAAATTTAGTAACATGGAAATTTATATTTAAATAGTCAAAAAGCATTAGAATTATACAAATGCAGAAAACAAATCAACAATTTATTTAAAATGGCTGAGAGTTAGGTCAAATCTCCACTTTCACAAGAAATATGCATAGAAAAGATTTAAATATTGTTTTAAATCCTAACTTAATGTAAACATTTTCTTCTCATACATCAGATTATGGAAGTAGTACATACTTACATAATTGATGTAACAGAAGAAAAATATTTACATCAAATTAGGATTTAGGATAAAAATTATATCACTTTTTATCATCTTTTGATATTTACGTATAAAAATCTACACTACTACTATCACCATATCTTTTACAAAATTTATTTGTATACTGCTTTCCTTGAGAAATTATCTATTGATAGTTATGGCATTTTATTGAGACTCAATCTACAATATAATTAAAAATATTCTAAAAATTTTTGATCTCTCATTTTATACACAAAGTTTACAAATAATATTTATATTTAAAATTGAGAAGTGTGCATTTATTTATTTATTGATATAACCTACCTGACTAAATTTACGTGTTAATTGATCTTTGTCAATTGATAATTTTACTTCTTCAACTGGGGTACTTTGAAAATCTTGTGATTGGTTAAAACTTGATTTCTAAATAAAAATATGTTTTTTAAATATCATTATCATTTCTAATAGGTATAATTAAATATTATTATTCTTAATTTAAAATGTTTATATTTTCTACTTAATTTTTACAAACATTTAATTTGAATTCTTTAGTTGACAAAGTATTTAAGAAAACTTAATTTTATTAATCTTCAGCTATTTTGCAAAATCTGTAATCATTTTATTCAAATTAATTATATAAATTAAATAAATATACTATACAATCTATTAAGATATAATTTATTTTTTATGTAAAAATATCGAATCAAATTATTAAATGCCAATTCCCACTTTGGATTTTAAAGAGAGACAGTCAAAATTAGTGCAATTTGTCTTTGTTGAAAATCTACTTTTCAGGTCTCATTATGGCTGACTGGTTGCTAAACCAATGCAATTTTGACCATAATATCAATACATAACACTAATTATTTAATTAAAAACAAACAATGTGGCTACAACTCTTATGTATCATATATGTTAATTGTTGTCTATTTTAACTAAATATTGGGAGAAAAATCAATTTGAAAAAGTTCTATACAAGTAAAAATAAAATCCTATGTGTCATCTTGGATGCTCCAACAAAGACATTCCCTCTATTCTACATTATGGAATGACAGTTTTCTTACCTGAAGTTATATTAAATGATTCTGAGATACAGAAATGTTAAGCCAAACTCAACTTCATTTGTAAATTTTAAATCTGAAAACTATTTTACTTTCATTACAAACATTTTCTGTTACTATTCCATTTAAGTGGGAACTGGCTTTGCCATTTATTCAATCATTAATAACAATAATATAAAAATATAACACAGATCACTCATCAAAAGATATAAAAAAGAAAGAATGAAAAAACATTCTCAAAACATTTGATAAACCATTCAAAGTAAATAGTATTTTATAAATTTTAAATAAACAGCATCATGCAAATATATAAGTATATATATATTTATTTTGACTATTTTATTTAATATTGTTGGCCATGCAACTTTTTAAAATGTGGCTAAAGAAAAAAAAAACTTGTTCTAAACTCAAATTATCTAAACAGATATACTACATATTGAAACAAAACTGAACATAAACACCATATGGCCAAATTCTCTTATTTGGACATTAATATTTTTCATTAATCACAGCTTACCAAAGATTTAACTGATATGCCAGTTTCAATCACCTCTTGGCCTTTTGATACAGCTACATCTTGTGGTTTGATGAGGCTACTTTTCTATATAGCACAGAAGTTGGAAAATATAATTACAGCAATAAAAACTAGAATTTTTAGCCTCAATTTTCTGTTCTTTAGTTATATACATTTAAAAAACAAAACCAAATCACACTGCAAATTTTTATTCTTTATTTGTTTATATAATATGAATTATTAAAAAATTAAAATCTTATACTGTATCTACAGTTTAGATAAAAGATAAAAGTTCCAACAGCCTTTAAAATCAACAAAAAATTTTTATATACATAAATTCACAATAGAAGTATAAACTGTTATGATTATTAAAAAATGTTGTTATATAAAATTTTCTTGCTGGAATGTAAAGGTCTGTGGAATTTGTTTTATTTAATAAATGAACCAGTACAAAGTTTTATGTATAACAAATATATACAGTAGACTCCCCTATAAAACAGGTTCATATAATACGGATTCGTATATCATGGCAAAAAATTTGCGATCGTATTCGTATAAACACGCTAAAAGAGACTCGTATAATACGGTAAAATGTCATCGCTAACTCGTGTCGTGACAGGATTGGTCAAGTCTAGACCAATAGTGGATATTGCACAAACCATTGAGTTTAAATGAGCAGCGGACCTACTAAAAGCCATTTATTATTTAACGGCCATAAAAATTATATTTATATTAATGATGTCTCCAAAGTTCAGCGAATTTTTTGCAGAAAGAATAACTTATCAGAAAACATGCACCCGCCATTCGATGCGCCACTCCACGACGAAAACAAGCTTAATTAAGCAATGGCATCGTNAATACATTTATATTAATGATGTCTCCAAAGTTCAGCGAATTTTTTGCAGAAAGAATAACTTATCAGAAAACATGCACCCGCCATTCGATGCGCCACTCCACGACGAAAACAAGCTTAATTAAGCAATGGCATCGTCGAATGGTGCACACTCGATAAGTAATCCTACAATTTTTTGTTTATAGTATAGTTTATATGAATTATTCCCAAAAAATTATATGTGTTTTGGAAACGTTGAGTCAAATTAGTCTAGAATCAATTAATTTTATGGAAGAAAACCTTTCAAACAGCCATAGTCCCTAAACTGCATATGTGCCGGGCTGTGATTGGCTCATGTATTTAAGTGATCATAAAACACAAACGTACTTACTGTATTATAGGAGGGTCTACTGTACTATATAACTTCTGAATAAAGTCTGAATACAATAATATATATAGTAGATATTGGTTACATCTACTAAACACAAATTTGTGATATCTGTATTTTTATTTTCATATTCATGTATGTTATTTTACTGATTCATTTTATTAATGTTTAAAATTAGTATCAATGATTTATAATAAGATTAATCCAGAAAATATTTTTAGCAACATATTTAGGAAAAATTAAGAAGTTACATGTTAAGAAATTTGTTAGAAAAAATTATTAGCAAGTTCAAATAATAGTAATAGTATATTTTAATTCTTATCTTTTTATTCTCAAAAGCTTCGATGTATATTATTCTAATAAGGCAAGTTTTTCTTAAATTTAGTAACATGGAAATTTATATTTAAATAGTCAAAAAGCATTAGAATTATACAAATGCAGAAAACAAATCAACAATTTATTTAAAATGGCTGAGAGTTAGGTCAAATCTCCACTTTCACAAGAAATATGCATAAAACATACCATTTTCTCAAATAACCAAATCAGGTTTAAATACCATTAAAATATTTTGCAACACGACTATTCACTTGAAAAATATTTTACACATTATACAAAAAAATAAATCCAGTTTTAGTGCCAGTTTTAGTAATGTCCATTAATAAATTATGATCAGATATATTTTAAAAAAATGCATTATTTATAACAACACTGCTAATTTTTCATTGAAATAAGATTCCCAATCTCTAATCCTATCACTCATTGAAAAAAAATCAAAGCTTCAATCATATATAACAGGCAATTTTGCAACTTATAATTATTTTAATATTTTAACAAATTTTGTTTCATAATAATTTGTTTAGTTTCAAAACAAATCTAAATTTCTTTTAAAAAATAAATTTTAAAATTTTAACCAAAATTTAAATCTAACCTAAAAAAAGAAAATCCTTTAGAAAACAAGCTACTAAAATAAATATTTGTTCAACAGTTCTAATATTTGATTAATGTTTATCCAGTAGACAATATGATATTAAACATTGGATTTAATATTTTAATTTGTATTCTATTGGGCATTATAAGATAATTTTATAAATACAAAATAAAATGAAAAACAGTTTTAAAAAATAATTTCCAAAATATATTCAGTGAGCAGCAAAATATAAAATAAATATCAATTTTAAAAAGTTTTAGAAAAAAAAATTATATAATGTATGGTCTAATCAGACCTTTATCGTAATAAATTTAAAAATTCTAGAAGGAAAAAAAGTGTATCATCAAAGATATGCAAGATTTTAAATTTAACTAAAAAAATATAGATTAAAATTATTTTTGAAATTAATTAATAAGTCATTAACTTACTAGAGTGTTTATATCTATTCCAGTAGCAATTGCTTCACGATTAGGGGAGATGGATCTGTGCTCTTGTGCATGTTGAGTATAACTTGTTTTCTGTTTAATAGTAATTATATTGTAATAGTTTTATATATAATTTCTGTAATACATTAACAAATTAAAGTATTTAATTATTTTATTAAAGTTGAATAAATAAATCACACAAATAATTTAAAATGTTTAGAAAATTCCACATTCTTCATAATTAAACATATTTTATATAAATATAATTTCATATTCATTAAATAAGAAAAATTATATTTAATTTTATCTGAATTCAATAATAAGCATAAGCTTGAAAATCTTAGTTAATAGCTAAGCATATATAATGTTCTATTGTTTGTATCTGATCTACAAGGTATCTGTACTCTGTCTAGATTCTCTCAGATAACACATTGGTACTATGATAACTTAATACCTCACATGGAAAGCCGAACATGTTCAGTTATGCAAATTATCAAGTTAATTAGGTTTTAGGAAATTTTANACTGCATACCAGTTAGGATTGTGCTTTCAATGGCACTTTGAAAGTGTGGGGTATATGGTGATGCATGTATACAAAGATTTATTTCTATTCTAGCAATTGTTTTTGCAAAATAACTTATTTATCCACAGAAAATTATAGTAATTTTCTTTTAATTTAAAAAATTAATTTTATACTTACTATTTTTAAAAAATTTTAATTTACCTCAGGAGTTCCACAGAAAGTTGAAGTTGTGTCTCTTCCAACAAGCCCTTCTTTACATAATCCAAAATCAGTTAAAACAATGTGACCCTAAAATAAAAGTACTAATTAAAGCTTTCAATTATAATGTGGCTATGTGCCATAATTGTATAGTCATAGTTTATTTTTGAATATGATATTTCCTTTGTCTTCATGTCTTTCCTTCTGAACTTTTTCCCTGACTCGTGTTTAACAGCGTAACAGTAGGTGATCCATTAGTAACAATTGGAAGGTGTGTGACCCTCAAGCATAACAGTGACCATGTATTCATTCTTTGGTGTAGAACGGGACAGGAAAGGACACGTGAAGAGAGCTCTCTAGCGTTTTTTTTTTTGGAACTGCGTGGAGACAAAATGGAATTTGAGGGAAAAAAGGAAAACAAGGATAGTGAAAACTCTGAGGGGTGTTTTCATTCATTCCAGTATGTATAGCTTAACAAAATTCCTGGGAAAGTGGTTTATATTTGCCGTGAACAGAGTTCATCCAACTTCCAAATATCACTGTGAAAAAACGCTGAAATCATTGGGTACCCAATTTTTCTCTCTCATCTTTACTTTTCATCTTTTTTCTTGTTTTAAATCTATATTTCATCTTAAGTAGATCATAATTAGCCATAAATTTAGATATAAGATATATAATTGTATTTTCTATTGGTAGACTAGTAATTCAAGTAAGGAAGAATTGTCGCAATATATAACTTATGTTTGTTAAATTTTAGTTACTATAATAGTGTAATCAGTTCAGGGATAGAGATTGAAACTGGCATCTGATAAAGATTTCCTGTATTCTGTACGCAAATTAAAGATTCTTATATTATAAAAGTTAAGTTTCTTTGTCTATGGTATTCGCACACTTCTCATAATTAAACATATTTTATATAAATATAATTTCATATTCATTAAATAAGAAAAATTATATTTAATTTTATCTGAATTCAATAATAAGCATAAGCTTGAAAATCTTAGTTAATAGCTAAGCATATATAATGTTCTATTGTTTGTATCTGATCTACAAGGTATCTGTACTCTGTCTAGATTCTCTCAGATAACACATTGGTACTATGATAACTTAATACCTCACATGGAAAGCCGAACATGTTCAGTTATGCAAATTATCAAGTTAATTAGGTTTTAGGAAATTTTAAATTCTAAAAGTTGGTGGTAAAATTAAATGCAATTTGTCACTGTAACGTTAGACTTCACCTTACTACAGTACATAAAATAATAGTGCAATTAACGAAATTGCCTGGTTAATGAAAATTTGCCTAAGTGTAATCATTTTTATGTATATATAAATTACTGTACTATATTAGAGTATTATAATACATAAGAGAAAAATTTGAATCATTTGCAAAAATTTTATTGACAAAAGCAACTCATCAAAAATACATCATTTAAAATTATCTGTTATTATAGTTTACTTTTTTTCAATGCAGCATACATGAAGTCTTCAATACTCTGCAAGTCAAATAGAGGATTGTCAAAATTATCCTGCATTCAAAGGAAATGACAAATCATATCAAATGGTCTGAAAAACTTCTTTGGTTTGGTGCTTCTAAATTTTTATCTTCAGAACTTTCTTGCACATCAGCAGAGAAGCAGCAGCATTTGTGCTCCCTTTTAATACATTGTTTAAAATGTCTCATCCATCATCCTGTAAGGAGTCAAAGTCCAATTGTTATTTTGTTTTGGGCATTACTTTTTTTTATTTTCTTCTTTGTTATGTTTTAAGGACAAACTCCCAAAAAACCACAGAATAAACTAAATTCCAAATTAAAAACAAACATTCACTTGCATATGTGACTGATATTTTGAATTTAGTTGATACTGGTTGAGATTAAATTACTTGTACCTCCCAAGTTGGGAAAAAGAAAATTTTTTTATTGATTCTGTTTTTTCTTGTACATAATTGATTTTGACTTGTTTTGAATATTTGAAAAATACTATTTATTACTATAAACTTCTTGTTAATATCTCATTTATATATATTATAGTTCAACTTAATAAATATTGTCATGGATTTTTTCTTACATACGTGTCATATTCAAATTTTTTTAAGTCATGGGAATAAAACCTACTGTGACCAAGTTCAGTCCTGTCACTTTGATTGAACTTAATTTTGTGTAACACTGCTTTTTTGGACTTAATTTTGATCACATAGTATATTACAATTCTGATGTCACCATTGTATCATCTACTCACAAAAACTTCTAATTTGAAATCATATGAACATTTATTAGTTTGTATACTTTCATCCGTTATGATTGGGCAGGTAATGTCAACAAAATACAGCATGAAAAAAAAAAAAACAATTCTGAATTATTTTTTCTGAAAACTGAATTTCAAATAGAGGTAACATATCTAAGGCACCTAAGACAGTGATTTTTAAACTTATACTTTCTTCTATGTCTTTACTGAACATGTCTTTCTGAACCAACTTTCTTTAATAAAAATGCTTAACATTGTGGATTATATCTTGGTCTAATGGTTGTAAAACATGTACCTGGAAATAAGAAAACTACTACAGGGAGATTTTCTAAACACATGATCAATCTGTACAATTATATACAATCATAAGCACTTTTATACTCTGCAAAAAACTTCCTGTCAAGCTTTCTTATCTAGCATTTGAAAACTGAAGATATCATCCATGCCTTTCTGTTGCTTCCATAGTCAACTGAGTCAGAACATTTACACCTTTCAAACGATATGGTTGTCTACATCTACCAATTTCTGGGTCATTCATATAAATTGTAAAAAGAACAGTCAAGTGTTCCTTATTTTTCTTACACACTACAGGTTTTCCCATTAAAAGCCAATGTTTTGTCAGGGAACAATCTGTAGAAAAGGCCAGTTTCATCACAGTTAAAAGATGTTATTCCTGGTATAGGACTAAAGTTTCTTTTTCAAGATGTTATTCTTGCAATGAATGATTATATTGTTGCTACGTGCCATAATTGTATAGTCGTAGTTTATTTTTGAATATGATATTTCCTTTGTCTTCATGTCTATTGTCTTTCCTTCTAGAATTTTCTCCCGACTTGTGTTTAACGACTTAACAGCAGGTGATCACTTAGTATAAATGGGAAGTTGTGTGACCCTCAGGGTATAACGGTGACCACGAATTCATTCTTTGGTGTAGAATGGGACAGGAAAGGACACGTGAAGAGAGCTCTCCAGTGTTTTTTTTTTTTGGAACCGCATGGAGACAAAAAGGAAATTCAAGGGAAAAAGGAAAACCAGGGTAGCAAAAACTGTGAAGTGGTTTTTGTTCATTCCAGTGTGTATAGCTTAATAAAATTCCTAAGGAAAATGGTTTATTTGCTGTGATAGAGAGGTTCATCCTACTCACAAATATCACCATGAACAACACCAAAATCATTGGGTACCCAATTTTTCTCTATCTTTATTTTTCATTTTCTTTCTTGTCTTAAATCTATATTTCATCTTAAGTAGATAATAATTAGCTGTGAGTTTAGTTTAAAATATATAATAATTGTATTTTCTATTGGTAGACTAGTAATTCAAGTAAGGAAGAATTGTCGCAATATATAACTTATGTTTGTTAAATTTTAGTTACTATAATAGTTAATCAGTTCAGGGATAGAGATTGTATAGCTGGCATATGATAAAGATTTCCTGTATTCTGTACGCAAATTAAAGATTCTTATATTATAAAAGTTAAGTTTCTTTGTCTATGGTATTCGCACACTTCACAATATCTTCAGGAATAAAAGACTTTTCACCACAAACATATCAAAAAATGATCTCATGGTGTTGCTTGAATTGATTTAACCAGCCATTACTTGCTTGAAAATCTGTCATACAGTTTTTCAGCAAAATCTTTAGCCATCTGTTACCTGTTAATAACTAAACCAGATATAGAAATTTCTGGCTCTTGCATGGATTTAAAATCATGTTAGAATAACTTCTTCAACAAGACTAAAGTCAGATATCCATATGCATTGCCTCATTAGTTCTGTCCATTTATCTTTAAAATTTTCTCCTTATTCTTCACAAATGTCATTACTGTCATATGAGATGTCATACTCTTTCATCAGACTGCTTATGACTGCTTATGGCCATCTACAAGTTTTGTTAAAATTTCTACTTTTGCTTACTGTACAAAAAATAAAATGGACTGAGCATTTAATGAACAGAACTATAACCAGACAGTGTTCCCTAGGAATTTTTTTCAGCTGAAGGGAGTGAGATAACAGCAGCTTTTATGGGGTGGAAAAGAGAGAAAAAAAAAAAAGAAGCTGTATAGAAATGATGTTCACACAATAGGAGCACAGATTCTCAGAAAAACTTCTTTTCTTTTTAAAAAATGTCAAACCTAGTGTCAAGTTAACACAGTCATCTTGATAATGTCAACTTAATGAGGTTCTTCCCACACAGAATAATACATTAGACAAACCAAAATATTAAAAAAATAATGTTAGAACACCAACATAGCAGATTCTATTTTATATTCTAAAATATATTCTAGAATATATTAAAATATTTAATATAGGCTATCTAAGTAGTAGTAATTGGCAAATTACTATCAGTTGAGGCATTCTTACAGTAGAAGAGTAGCATTAGAAGCCACAGAACATTCTCAAAAGTTCTGTGAGCTTTTGAGTAATTTTTTTAATAATTACCAAGAATTAAATAGTTAACAAATTCGTTTTTTTTTATCTGGAAATTTTTAATAAAATCAATTTGAATTTGCTTCACTTCATATGTTCAAAATTGCATCATCATTAAAAATTTTGATAACGTTATGAAATAAAATATGAAATTTTTTAAATTCAATGCAAAATACCAAAATTTAGTATAGAAGAATGTCCAATAAAATTTAAAATTCATTAAACACTAACTTAAATTTAACTATAGATCTGTAAATGACAGCTGCTTTTTTTTATACAAATTAAGAATAAATCGTGCAAAATTTTAATAATTCATATAAACATGTAAATATAAAAAACTCACCAATGATTCAAAATCAATGCCTGTATCAATAATTTCTTTAGGTGGAGATTGTGAAATAGCTTGTTCAGCATGGTTAACATATTGTGATCTCTATTCCAACATGCAAAGTATTAAATGCAAATTATAAAATCAAGCAAATGATTAATACAAAACAATTATTTAATTAAAAAAATTAATTTAATTATGCTATTAGTAATTATTTAACAATTAGGGAAATTATAATAATTACTAGTAAAATTATTTTAATCATTTGTTAGGTACTTATAATGTATTAAAAACAATCAGTTAATTAAATAAGACTTTCTTTCATTTTTAACTTGATGTTTCAAAAAAAATAAATTTAGAGAAAAAATTAATTTTATTCTTGATAAAATGTCCACATATAAATAAGTTTAATTAAACATGCATATATTTCTCTACAATTTTTCCAAAAAATTTTAAATCATCATACAATTTATACATAAAAAAAAATAATTTTATTAAAATTAGAATTACTAATGATAACGTGTTAAGTAACCTTACATATAACTTACTATTGAATTGAATTTTGTGTGTGTAACAAAAATATGAATCTTGAACAACACCTTAAATACTTTTTCAGCAACACTTTAATTTATTTAAACAACATTTTTGACCCCTTTTCATTGGTCTGCATAGTTTTGCTGAAAAATATTTAAGGTGTTGTTTAAGGTTTCAGCTTATATAGAAGTTTTTTTTAAATATGAAGAAATTTTCAAAAAAATTATACAATAAGAATTTTAACAACAAATTCAAATTTCTAACTTTTGTTTTTAAGAATCATTTTTACTTTATGACTAATATTTTAAAAAAAATAAATATCATTTAATAAAACTCTTATTCAAAAAGTAGTAGAAGTATATAAATGTATTCTAACTAAAGAAACCAATAAAAATAACACATTTTAAGATTCTAGCACACCGTTTATTTTGAAAGTGGCATAAGTCCATTTTTTATTCTTTCAAAATATTTAAAGATTTGCATTTTAGTTGATTCAAAAAAATAAATTATACTAAGTATGGCAATGTTTCTATGACTTTATAAATATGCAAGTTAATTACATAAACACTTCTATGTGAATTTAACTAAATCAATATATTCTTTCTGGGTCATAAATGGACTTACATTAAATTTCAATTATGTAAAATTCAATTTCACTTGTAATAAACTGTGTTTTATTCTGATTTTGTTTATAAATAATAATAACAAATAAAATAGTGTTGTTTATTCTCAACATTAAAAATATTTACTTATTGTTAAACTNTTTATTTAATCATTAACCAGATACAACAAAATTACAAGTTTCTCCTTCCAATAATTACTCGGTTTTTATCGAAATATTGACAAATGAAGAACTTTTGCATTTTACATAAATTTCTTAAATGGTTTCCATTAAATCATTTTAACAGTCAATATAATAACCAATTATCTCTTCTTATCTCTCTGTTTATCGTAATATAATTGGATCACTATTTTAAGATGAGTATTTACGATACAAATTAGTAAACAAGTGTAGTAGAAAATCCTTTTATTGATACATGCTAAATCAATATCGAAGTCTGCACTGCTAAAGCTAAATACAAGCTTTAACACCATCGACAAATCATATCTTGTCTATTAAGCAGGGGAGCTGAGTAATTTGTGAGTAATTCGTTTTCCAAGCGAATTACTAACAAAAAAATAATAATAACAAATAAAATCTTTAAAATTGCTATTTATTTTATTCTGATTTTGTTTATAATTAATAATAACAAATAAAATAGTGTTGTTTATTCTCAACATTAAAAATATTTACTTATTGTTAAACTATTTTATGATAAAATTATTATTATGAGCGTATCATTAGACACTACTTTCATTTAGACTCATTACGTGGAGTCTTTTTTCATTTCATCTGTTTCCATTCTATCAAATTGTGCTTTTGTTGGTAAAATTCATAGTTTTACTCCTCTCTTATAAGAGGCTCTCATAAATGATGTCCACACTGGAAAGCAGGGAGGAGGGAGGAGGTTAAGACAAGTTGGACAAGGAGAACGAAAGTTGAGCATTAGTGGACGTTTATTTCATTGAATTTTATATAGTTTATGCATTTTATCATACTTATTTCAAAATTTCTTGTGTGTTTCATTTATGAATGATAGATACCATAAGTAGAAAGGGATGAAGGTTTTAATGGGGCTGAGTTATGTGGGACATCCAAAGAGGGGAAGGATTACAGAAACTTGGACAAACTGGGACAAGAGGGGGGGTAAAAATTTCAAGGAAAATGCAGACTTAATTTATGGACAGCCTGCAAGTGCTTAATTAGACTGCAGAAAATGGACTTAACCACTTTCATAATCAATGGTTATTCAATATCATTTACTGATGAATTTTTAATTGATCGAAGTATATGGTTATTTTAAAATACTAACAGTAAGTGTGAATTGTTCATAAACAAAACGTTTACACTAAATTATATGTAAATTATGTGATTTCTCAATTTTTCCAAAAATGGACTTATGCTATTTTCAAAATAAACAGTCCATTTAATACTCTACTCTAACAAACCAGTCTAACAAACCTCTATTTCTAATACAGACAGTATTTGATCAGATACTCTATTTTTTGACCAAACTGAATTTCATATTTGATATTCTTCCATTTTTGCATACTTACTATTCTTATTTTTTCATTTTTTATAATGATGTGCTGAAATCTTAAGATCTTAAAGTGTGTGTTACTTTGAAAAATTAGAAGAATGCTAATTCTAAACATAATCCAACTAGACAATTATATTAATAAGAATTCTTATAAATGACTTATATTAAGAATCATTTATATTTAAAAGTCCATTTGTTTTACTAGATTTCACAATCAAGTTTTCTACACTAGAAAATTTTGTATATATTATCTTCAAAGCATATTTAATCTATTTTTATTTGTAAAAATTAAATAATTCAGAAATTTCATTGAGAACTATAACAGAACAAAAAACTGCATATACAGTCGACCCCCCTATAACACAGGTTCCTATAGTTCAGATTCCTATATAACGGCGAAAAAATTGCGATGGTATCCGTACAAACATGGTAAAAAAGCTCCTATAATTCGGTAAAACGTCATCGGGCAGCCGAACTGCTTTCCGCCGTCCAGTGCCATGCTACGGAGAGTTTAGGCAGGTAAATTGAGTTTACTATCGTCTGTACAGTATTATATATAAATTAGGTACTGTATATATAATTATATATTAACTTAATTTATTGTAACTTTATTATAATTATATATATACTTTCCACCGTCCAGCGCCATGCTCCGGACAGTTTAGGGAAGTAAGGTNGATATAATTTATTTTTTATGTAAAAATATCGAATCAAATTATTAAATGCCAATTCCCACTTTGGATTTTAAAGAGAGACAGTCAAAATTAGTGCAATTTGTCTTTGTTGAAAATCTACTTTTCAGGTCTCATTATGGCTGACTGGTTGCTAAACCAATGCAATTTTGACCATAATATCAATACATAACACTAATTATTTAATTAAAAACAAACAATGTGGCTACAACTCTTATGTATCATATATGTTAATTGTTGTCTATTTTAACTAAATATTGGGAGAAAAATCAATTTGAAAAAGTTCTATACAAGTAAAAATAAAATCCTATGTGTCATCTTGGATGCTCCAACAAAGACATTCCCTCTATTCTACATTATGGAATGACAGTTTTCTTACCTGAAGTTATATTAAATGATTCTGAGATACAGAAATGTTAAGCCAAACTCAACTTCATTTGTAAATTTTAAATCTGAAAACTATTTTACTTTCATTACAAACATTTTCTGTTACTATTCCATTTAAGTGGGAACTGGCTTTGCCATTTATTCAATCATTAATAACAATAATATAAAAATATAACACAGATCACTCATCAAAAGATATAAAAAAGAAAGAATGAAAAAACATTCTCAAAACATTTGATAAACCATTCAAAGTAAATAGTATTTTATAAATTTTAAATAAACAGCATCATGCAAATATATAAGTATATATATATTTATTTATTTATATAAATATATGTGTGAATTTCTAAATATTAATAATTATTATTACAAAGAGCTAATTGCTAGTATTTTGATTATTATAAAATATTTAGCAAGAGGACAATGAGAAAATTGGCAAGATTTTAAAAAAGATTTCATATTACTTTGAATTGTATTGAAAATGTTAGTCATCACAGATGGCTTGTGTCATTGAATTAATTTGGAAGTCAATAAAAATCAATGAAGAGTTTTGTTAGTGACTGTCTTTTGGGACCTTCATGTCACTATGTGGTGTTTTCACCAAAAGAGGATAATGTCAAGTGAATGACCAATAATGACCATAATGAGTGAATGCCAATGCTTATTGGAAAATGCTTATATAAAGAAGCCATTTGTCACAAGAGACAAGGTCTTGTCCCATAGTGTTGAGTTTCTCCACAATAATGCATGCCTAAACACTGCCAAAGATACAGTTACATTGCTGCAGAAGTGGAATTGAGAGGTTTTGGTACATCCTTACTGTAGCCCAAAATTGGTCCTTTCAGACTCACTATTTTCCCCATAACTCAAGAATAATTTTCAAAAGGAAATATTATCAGTCAGGTAATGAGGTTAAATCTGAAATATGGAAATGTTATATTTATCAGAACTGGTATTTTCTGCATTGCCATGAAACAATTAATACATTGAGATAAATGTTTCCGTATGAATGAAGTCTATGTTAAAAAACAGAGGACTAACAGCTGTTTCAAAAATGCCATACCATTTAATTATACAATGTCCATGTCAATAACAAAACTTACATAAATGGGCATCAAAAATTAACTTTTCTAACTTAAAAAGTAAACTTTAATTTCCTAATTCTTAAAGTAAATCTGATCATTTTGGTATTAATGCAACACACTCTTGTACTACTGACACTGTTTGATGCAATCTGTTTTCTTTGCTCTCACTCTGAAGGTTAAAATAAACTCAAATGCAAAATCATACCATACTACTACCTTATTCTCTATACAATTAATTCCTTTCAGAAATCATGGTAATCAGACTA